AAAACTTATTTCCATAGGCGTTATCGCTAATGGTCACAACATAGCTACAGGACACAAGCAGCAGTATGATGTCTGCCAGCTATTGCAGTGTTGGTGGTTTATTAAAAAAAAAAAACACTATAGATACTAAAATTAAATAGCCAGCAACATATCTAGCATATTACTGCTTTCTCTTTTTTTTGCCATGGACTATAAAATTTTGTCCTAAATTGATTATATCTTCTACACCCTGAGAAATAACAGACTAATAAATGTCAGGGTTAGCTTTATGGATCATATTGTTGACCAGAAAGCAAGCTACATATAGCTAATATTCTTGGAAGCACAATGTTGCATCAGCAGACCAACATATTGCCCTATGTTTGTGAAGCACAGGCTGGTTGTTCAGTGTTAACATTGGCTGGCCTAGTGAAAGTCAAAGTTGGGAGCATGAGGTTTCCCCTCCCACCCCAGGTCCACATATGGTTTTCTGCCTCTATATTTAGCATAGTGCTGTCCTTTAAGAATATATTATTCAAGAATTCTCTTTAAAGCACTTTGGAATCTTAACTATATATTTTTAAGAAATTACAACGAAAAACTATTTGTTACCATGAAATATGACATTCCTAACCCTCCCCTTCCACACACAAATACATAACAGGATACATTTGGAAATTCATCTCAGTATTTACCACTTTTCTTTGGATATTAAAAAAGTCCCATTTTTCCTCTTTTAACTATCCTATACATGTCTGAATTTGGGAGGGAAGGATGGTCTTCAGAATAAGGCAAAGGATTCACTTAGGACAAGCATCTGGTTTCTACTGTCCGGTGGGATGCCCTTGGTTCCCTCTGAATGCAGGTTACACAGCTTTCAGTACATCTTTAATTGTGCACACGCTGCCCTGTAACTGTGATGCCTCCAAAACTCAAAACAGTTGTCAAAGAGAAAGAACTAACTCTAAGTCTTGGTGTTTCTGGCAGGGTGCTTAAAAATGCTCACTAATAAAACAAAGGATCCTATCTTATGTCAGAATCTCACTGAAAATAAAACATCCCTTAGGACCATAGCTAACAATGGAAATAAATAATAGTCACAATCAGCTTGCTGTCTGATTAAATTTCTATGGTCTGTTTTCAACCTAAATACTGGAGTTCAGTATATAATCTCATACCCCATCAAAGTTAAGAAAGGCACTCGAGTCAACACAGTATACAGTTATTTAAAGAAGACACCATGTGACAGTAGGTAGCATTCTTGGGGCAGATTTTTCTTGCTCACTGTTTTTAAGGGTTTGCTTAAACTTTCCAGGGTCTCTGCATGCTCCTCTAACCAAACAGGAGCTCATTACAGAGTCTGGGGGGCACAGCACATACAATGTTAGAGTTTGCACTCTACTTGAGAAAGATAAAAGATACAGTTTTCATAATGTTCAATTTTTTTTTGCATATGTGAAGCACTTAAATTTAAAATTTTCTAGTAGCAAAATAATAAACTCAAAATGCTTTTTGGGAAAAAAAAAGGATTACTTCCTTTTATAACTAAATCTTCTATAATTCTGGTGAGTTAACTTAAAGACTGTTATACAGTAAGTGGTAGTTCCACTCCTAAACTGCATTTAGCCTACGTCAGACACCATCTTGTGTAATAGCAAATTACAACTTGTAGACACTATCTTATGTAACAGAAAATTACAATACAGTTTGTAGCACTATTACAAGTTCTCTCCCTCCCTACCCCCACACACATACTAACAACACCCCAGGCATGAACTGAGATGACTTGAATACATCTAAATGACATCTACCATATTTCTGCATTAAAAACTAAAAACAAAAACTTGTTTCTACATCTTATGTTACAAAAGCCCTTATTGAAAATATAAGTGGCTTTTAGTGTCAATCTGTGTACATTTAATTCTATAATTGATTAATGAATCTGAGATTGATCCTCAGCACTTCCAAAAAGCAAGAAAAAAAAATCAATGAAGTCTTTCAATTAGAACTGTACAATAGGAATAAGAAATCTGACTTAAAGTCTGGGCCTGGAGCTGCTAAAGAAGTCAGATATTAGTGGGTATAAAATCCTTAGGCTTAAAAAATGACTTATATAGGTTTTAGAAATAGCTAAAGGTGCACAGTTCAAGTTGGGGATGGGGATGCTTCATGTACAGACACAGATCAACAAGTCACTAAAATCAAACAATCACTCTAATGCTCAAATGTGGCTTTGTATGCAAGATCTGCTCTCCAACATCATGAAACAGAAAATAACACTCTTAATGCAAATTGGCCTCACTGATTCTGTGAGTCTTTAATGTAGATAAAAGTACAACTAACCAATAATTCTAGAGCACCTTTTCACGAGTAGGATTTAATAAGATTAAACAAAGTCACAAAATGAATAAAACAAATCTAAATTTAATTCATTCTATATGTAGTGGCTCTCCTTAAGTCTTACGAAGCTAGTGCACATCACTTCTTTACAACTCATGTATTTCCCAATCATCATTCCATCACACATGACCAAATTTTCCCTTCTTCAAACAGTTAACTAGTCATTAATTTAATAAATAGTTAATACATCCTTACAATGTGCAAGGCATGTTGATATAATCTGGAAATACAATTACCAAAATAGGTATACAAAAAGAAAGAAAAGGAAAAAAGGGGGGTAAGTGAGGGTTAGGGTGGCAAAAATTGCAGATCTTACTGCTTTTTCCTTATCAGTAGTTTTCTTAATCCACAGGATGTTATGATGGCCTGCTAGTGCTCTAGTACAAGTCAAGATGCAATGTGTCAATCTAAACCATCTTTTTTTAACAACACACGTGCAGAAAATTAAGACTAAAGAAGCCCCTGAATTACACATATTCTTTCTACTGCATGAGTTCATTTGGTCAAAGAGTATCTTGCTAATGAGTTTAAATGTCAAACACTTAGGGAAAAGATACAATCATACAGGCAGTCCTAAGTTTTTCTGTGAAATAAGGTAGCATGCACAAATCACATACTAACAGCCTCTTTTAGATATCTGTATTTTTACTACCTACTTAAAACTTTATTAGGAAGGTGAGACCAGGATACAGTAAAGGACTTCATGGCTTTGGAAAGGGGTGGCTAAGCCGCAGAAGATACAAAGGCAGCCAACAGCAAAGATGAGTGGGATGTCGAGTAAAGGACATAAAAAGGCATGAGCACTACAAGTTTAGGTGACGCTCACACATTTTCTGTCATGTCCTAATACACACTACATCAAAGTATAAGAAGCCCTGTTACTTGGGATACTAAATCTGATGCTGAGAAAAAAAGGGAATGCTGAGTAAAGCAAGAATTTGGCAACATGGAACTGCCTGTATCTTTTCTGTTGCTGCTACTCACTCAATCCCCACGGGAGCTAAAAATTCTAAATCGAATGGTTTTATCTGTTGAGGTCTACATAGACCTTGAGGTATTTGATTCAAACTATGCTTTGTACTTAGAGGACTGTGGAATGGTGTTCATAATGGCAAGTATTTTATCATCTAAGAACCATACAAACTATAAAAAGTAACTTTTGCCCCAAGAGAGTAGAGCAACATCTACCTCCTAGAGCCAGGCCAGAGGATTTTTGTTTTGTTTTGTTTTTGGTCTGGTAGTCCTAAGTGTCTCAGTCAGCTCAGCAGTCTGCTGTTCAGTCAGACCATGCTGTGCTGAAGGGAGTGTCTAACTCAAGTCCAGGCTTCCCACTGCAGTGAGATAGGAGAGGTCTGCCTTTCCCTCCACTCTTCTGTCTAGGCTACACATCACAAAGCGTGAAAAAGGAGAACTGGCAGAACCAGCACTTCTGCAACAATTATACACATTTCCCACATATATATGAAGAGACAGCTTCCCCCATTAAAAGGAAACTTCAGAGGGGGAGCTCTTATTCCCCATTTCCTGTGTTTGTAGAGTATGAAATTCATCGAAATGACAGGAAAGGATCTTCAATAGGCATCCCTGAAGAAAGACATGTGGACAAATATAGACCAGTGAGTGGTGAACCCTATGGGTGGGACTAGGAAAACAAAGAGAATGCTAGGCAGAGGCAGAAGCACAGATCATTCCAAAGGGGGCGAATATCCTAAGTAGCCATTACCTGACCCATCTCCACCCCATTTCACCAACCTGAAGAACAGCCCTTGTTATTAAGATACAGCTATAATGTGGATGCTTTGGTACCTTATCCCTGATAAATTTAAGTATCAAAGTGTTTTATTTCATTTTAAAAGTAAAAATTGAAGAACTAATGCTTAAAATTATTCTTTCTCCCTGGGCTTTTGCCAGTAAGCTTTTTTCACTTCACAAAAACTTTGTAGTTTGTTCGATGTAACCTCAGTAACTTAAACTTCAAAAAGACTATATTTCTAAATATATTTCCCATTTTTCATGATTTTTAGAAGGAAAAAAATAGCAATAACTAAAAATGGTGTATTGTATCTTTTTAAAAAAGAATTTATTTTATAAGGGTTGACGACTGTTTTGGCATATACCAAAGATGAGGTAAAAATAATCTATCAAAACTAGTAATAAAAATAATTTTCCAGTACTACAATTACATTAACTCTTAAATTAGTTTAGTTTTCTTTTAAATAATCATTTAAAAAATAGATTACATTGGGAGCATTTTTCTATATAAACTCCAACACTTCTGACTTTTGTTATCTCAGTTGATAACCGGAGCGCACGTCAGAGAAAAAAGTGGCTTAAATTTTCGCATATCTGTCCATCTAGTCATTTTATTCTGAAAATAGCAATTAGATCAAGTCCTTCTGTTTATGTATTAATATTCTTAAGCTGAACTGCAACATAAATTTTTAATTAAAAAAAAAAAAAAAAACCCTGCCTATGCAGCAACTGAACTGTGCAAAGGTGTGTGTGAACCAACCGAAAGAAAGAAACAAGAAGCAAACACGGAGATAAAAAGGACAGGAATTAAAAAAAAAAAAAAAAAAAAAAAAAAAAAAAACAAAGCAGAAGGATATTTCACATTGTTTCAGGAAGGAACTACACAATTATTTTATCCCCAAAGGAATGACAGTTCTTAACAAAATAAATAAAATGAAAGATTTCTTATAGACTTTTAACCTGTAGATGGAGACTACAAAGTTGGCCAGTAATAACAAACAGTTCATGCAACTATGTCATTAAGAAAGGAATGCAATATTGCATTACAAGGGGAACTTGGTAAGTTGAATCCACCTCCTCTTCATTGACTCAATGTGACCAGCCATCTCCTGTATGCATTGGCATACCTGGCTTGCTCTGCATTCCGACAAGTAGATAATACTTGATCAATGAACCTGTGTTCCATCTCTAGGCCTAGGGAGTCTGAAGCTGGGGTCCGCTTCAGGCGCTTGGTTTCCTGGGAATAGCCTTGCTTGCTAGATTCATTTAGTCCATCCACTTCCATTGCCTGAGATTCTTGGGGGCTTGTTGGAATGAGGTGCAAGTCATTCAAAGTCCCCCCAGGGCAGTCTGCAGGTGACAGGTGAGTCAAGCTGTGAGGAAACCTACCACTTAAGCGATGTTGAAGGTAGAAAACATGTCGCCTATGATGGTGGAGGGTAGAGAAAAACATCACACAGTCAAGTTTTACAGGTGAACAAAGTTGATAATTTCAAAATACACAGTATTTAGTTTATGCCTATTTCATATCAGAGCTTTCTGGGAAAAGGAGAAAAACAACTAAAATCTCTGGGTTTTCAGCCCTAGCTTACTGGTTTGTGAGGAAGAATATTACTCTAAAGGCATTTCAACATTCATTGACATGACAATGACTTTGTAGCTGTTATTCTCTGATAACAAATGTGAGTTGAAAAGTAAAAGCTCAATATTTGCTATAAATTATTATATAAAACAAAATAAAAGACTTAGAAGTAATTCAGAACTAAGATGTGATAACAGTTCCTCTGGATTAGAGGTATAGTTCATGACCTATAGGTCTTTAAAAAAAAAAAAGTTACATTTCTTTGAAATTCTCACAAAATGTACTTTGATCATATTTACTTCCGTCCCTGCCTTCTTCCCCCTAGTCCTTTTAAAAGACACTTTTTTTTGTTTTGTCTTTTTGAGACAGGATCTCCCTGTAGTCCCAGCTGACCTGAACTCACTATGTTGACCAGGCTGGCCCTGAACTCACAGTGATCCGCCTGCCTCTGTCTCCTGAGTGCTGGGACTAAAGGCGTGCACCACCATGCCCGGCTAAAAGACACTTTTGATTACATTTATCTAATACGTTTTTGTGTGTGAGCATGCCACAGCACACATGTTGACGGTCAGAGGACAGCTTGCATAAGCTGGTTTTCTTTCGACCATGTGGGCTCTGAGGATTGAACTTAGGTCATCAAATTTGACATCAAGTGCCTTTTACTCACTGAGCCATCTTGATGACTCCTAGTTTTTTTGAGACAGGGTCTCCCTATAGCCCCAGCTGACCTGAAACTCACTATGTAGACCAGGCTGGCCTCAAACTCACAGAGATTGGCCAGCCTTTGTGCCACCATGCCCAGCTCTTATTCTAATTTTTAAAAAGACAAGCCAGGTGTGGTGGTGCACACCTTTAGTCCCAGCACTTGGGAGGCAAAGGCTGGTGGATCTCTGTGAGTTTGAGGCCAGGCTGGTTTACACAGTGAGTTTCAAGTCAGCTGGGGCTACAGGGAGACCCTAGCTCAAAAAAAAAAAAGAAAAAAAAAAAATAGAAAAGACATCTGCAGTAGCCGGTCTTGTTACCTAATAATAACTAATAACATAAACTAAACATTCCTCTAAAATCCACCACCATAGTCTTACATATTGGTATGTGGTGGATATGTACTGAGCTCTGACCAGTGCACATTAAGAGACAGAATTCAGGGCTGGGTTCCAGGCCACCTGGGGCTACAGGGAGCCCCTGTCTCAAAAAGATAAAAAAAAAGAGACAGAATTCCTGTTTTCCGTCTAAGAGCAGGTAGCACTTGGAATTGCTTATTAAGAATGAAAATTGCTTTGCACAATCTCCCAATTCTTAGTTTAAGAGGAGCACACATCTGCTGTACTAAACATGGCAACTTCATATAGATTCCAAGTTGTTCTATCTCATCATTCATACAAGCCACTCTTAAGTCCTTAAAAGACAGTCTTGGTCCTTTTTTCCGCATCTTCTAGAGTTGACAGGGGAATGTACAAACTGCCTATTTATGGAGGGCAAAACTTAAAGGACAGGTAGGGTTCTAATGGTAATGAGTCAGCAGTAGAAAGCTGGTTGGTATACTATATCTCAGAAAAAACAAATCCCAACTTTTTTCCTTCCTTCTCATTCCCTAACACCAATTTTAACCTTCACACAAACAGAAGCTTTATTCTGTTAATTTAGCTCTCTCTCAAACACACTCATCATTTAACATAATCTCTAAAGTCTTGCTATTATTATGATGAAATACAAAATAGCAACATACCCTTTAACACCGAAACAACCTGAAGTTCCATCTTTCTTAAAAATGTGGAATAAAATATCTTGTTTTGAAGAGAAAAAGACAGCTGTCTACTCATGAAAGTGCTAAAAAGTAAAGATTGCCTTCTGCCTTCTGAATATGCTCAGCATAAATCAGTGGCTAGGAGACTGTCTCAAAGAGCCCACAAGGAAGACTGAAGGGTGGGTGGGGGACTTCAGCAACAAGAAATATACAGAATTTGCTGGGTGTGGTGGGCATATGCCTTTAGTCACAGCATTTGGGAGGCAGGAGCACACTGATCTCTGTGATTGAGGCCAACCTGGTTTACAAAGCGAGGGAGACGCTGTCTCAAAAACAACAGTAAATAAAAACAAGAAATACAAAATTTTACAATGCCTATCTCCTGCCTAGCACAGGTAAGTCTTTTGTAAACAAATTGAATTCTGTGGCTTGAAGCAGAAATTTGTCTTTATAAAGATGGTGATGGCCCCAGACAGAGGAAGATCCAAATTAAACAAAGCAAAATGTTAATTTACCTGACTTCATTCCAGTATGTAATTTACCATGTCAAATGCACTCAAAACTCTGGATAATATCTAACTTTTTTATTTGTTTTGATAAACAAAATATCAAAGAATTATTATACTTAAAGTTGATTTGCAGACCATCTGAGTAGAAAAAAAATATAAAGGTTATCATGTTCCATGTTCTAGTGAATACTCTCAATTCTGACTGCATCAAAGTGATCTGGTAAGTGTTTGCTTTTCTTTGAAAAGATGGCAGCATGTCATCCCAGATATGCTAATTATCAGGATCTCCAAAAAGAGTCATAAAACATTTTTATGTTTTATTCTGTTTTGGTTTTATTCTATTTTGGAAGCAACACAGGTTATTCTGTTGTGTAGTTAAGGCTGACCCTAAACCTCATATTAATAATGGTAATGATGACGATATAGTAAACAAAAGCCCTTTCTCAGTCAGGTAAAGCTCCACAATAAGGTGATTGTTTTTACCTAAACAAGCAGTAATCAGATAACAACCCCTCTGCAGCTCTCATAAGGACACAGCCAGTTTCACACAGGAAATGGACTTTCCCTTCTCTTACCTATGACACCAAAGGGTTTCATGGCCTGGATAGGAATCAATAAGATCTGTGCAGAATTCCACTTCTTTTTCCAGAAGATGGGTGAGATTTACCCTCGGTTCCTCTACTGAATCTGTTGCCTCTTCATCTTTTGGCTTACTTCTCAAAGAGTTTTGCTCCAATACAGAACTGTCCACTGCAGTTTGGCTGATCAAAGATTTTAACAAAAACTGGCGGTAGTGAAATCCGCTGTGGTCTGAAATGTGCATGGATGCCCACTGTTTAGTAGAAGATAGTTCATCAAGAAGAATCTTGTAGGAAGAAAAAGGGGAGTGAGAAGAGGCATTTATAAAGGCTTTTCTTTCTCTATTAACACCTGTGCTTTCTTTGATTCATATTCCAATCTCTTGTGTACAACGTCCAGCACAATGCTGTCACTTGGTAGAGGCTGAATATACGCTAGTTTCCCTTTTATTTTATAAACTAGTAGAGGTTAAACTTCTCTTTTTAAAATTAAGAACTTGTCTTTCTTTACCTCAACTAATCACATTGTGACTGGCAATCATAGAGAAAATCTGAATTACAAATTAATGAATATTAGAATATTTACTTACAAGTAATACTATAGTAAAATGAAAAACAGGACATAAACCAGAGGCTACTTTGATTTTCTTACATTTTATATTTTATTACATCCAATCTGTATGAATATGCATTATAGTTTCAATAATAGACTCAAAGTAACTGCTTTTCACAATAAATGTCAAAAAGGCAGAGACCATATCTGCTTGTTCATTACTTAATTCTAAGAGGTAAGCACAATCCATAGTATAAGAATAGATTTTCCAAGACTTCACAATTTTCACTGCCTCAACAGATAAAATTCACCTCTAAATTGTTAAATAATTGTATTACCAGTATTACAAATTAATGAATTTCAAATGTAAAGCACACACTTTTAGTAGCATTTGTGGGAAAAAAAAATGTTTGGTACTGTTTGGACAGCTGGCAAACATAAATGTTCATGAGTAACAGGCATTATGAAAAGCCTAACATGCTCCATCCGAGGACTTTGTGTTTTGAAGCAGGGCCTCACTCTGTAGCTCAGACTTTCTGAACTCACTAGTCTCACATCAGACATCAGCAGTCATCTTTCTGCTTCAGCCTCCCAAATGTTGGGATTGCAGGTGTGAGCTACCACACCTGGCTTCCATTGGAAGATTTTCAGCAGCTAAGGAAAAGACCACACACTTATGAGCAGAGAATCATATAAACACCACAATGCCTACAGCACCTTTACTTAGCTTGTCAAAGGCCCCAAGCACAGGGCTTTTCCTGTACCAGGATCCTCTTTCCACTCCTCACATACTCCTTCCACAGAAGAAATCTTTCCTTCCTTTGAATCTCCATAGTACTTCTATTTGTATGTTCTGTTTGTTGAGACAGAGAGCAACAATGTAGACCAGGTTGGCCTCAAATGCAGATCCTTCTGCCTCTGCCTCCCAACTGCTGGGACTAAAGGAGGGATTAAAAGTGTATACCAACACTCCTGGTTGTACTTGTATGTTTTTACATAAAAAACTTTTTGCATGTGTCTTCATTATCATTAATTCTAAGGATGCTTTATTTTTAATATCACAACAAGGTTATTTACCCACTCCTAGGTGATGTTTCCATTCTTTTATGTTTAGTAGCATCAGAGTGGATATGTAAATATTTTATAATTTTTTTTTTACTTCCAGTCAGAATGGATAAATTATATCATTCAAATGTTTTACATATCTTCTTTTTACTTTATTTTTATTTTACTGGTTTTGAGGCATGGTCTGGGATGTAGTCCAGGCTTGCCTAGAACTCATAATCCTGCTGCCTGAGGCTCCCCAGGGTTGGGATCCCTTAAATTCTAATGAGTTAACTCATTTGCTATCTGAAAAAACTAATTTTAAGTTTATTAAAATTTTTTTTAAAAAAAGAATTACCCTACAGGCCATTTAGGTACACTATAGTTTTTTAGTTTTGATATGGCTTCCTAATGTGGACTGAAAAAAAAAAATACTGTAGTTATTTAAATAGAATATATATAACATGAAAAACCAGAGGCAGGTGGATCCCAAGAACTTGGTGGCCAGCCAGTCTGACAAAAAATAAAAGTTTCTGGTCAGTGAGCGACCCTATTTCAAAGCAATAAGGCAGAAAGTGATAGTGGAGAACAATGGAGAGCCTGCTCTGGCCTCTGTGTGTGCACACAAGCATGTACACCAGCACACCCATGTGTATACAATACACACATGTGTAAGAGTGAAAAGCAGTTGAGGAAGACCCTGAAATTGACCTCTGGTCTCCACACACGTGCACAAAAAAGTACAATCTTAAGGCTTTTTAAAGAGAAAACGACTACATTCTTTTCTATATGATGTGCAAAGATGTATATTAAACAAAGAAGAGGCTTCACCAAGAATTTCTGGGCAGTTTCTTATTTTAGGACTTTTTCTTACAAGAATTAAAGGGTACATAGGCACAGATTCAAAAACAAAAGACGCAATTACTTTTAAGTGATTTGTTTTGTTTTTTGAGACAGGGTCTCCCTATTGCCCCAGCCCACCTGGAACTCACTATGTAGACCAGGCTGACTTCAATCGCACAAAGATCTGCCCGCCTCTGCCTCCTGAGTGGTAGGATTAAAGGTGAGTGCCACCACACCGGCTTTACTTTTACGTGATCTTAATGACATCATATAAAGAAATGGCTAAAATGTAAGGGACTGACAAAATGGAAGACATTTTATAATATACCTTAAATCTCCTTATTCTTTTACAAAGTCTGTATTAAAAATATGAGTAAATTAGCTATATAAAAACTATAGAAATAGTTCTATGAAAGAGGGATAACAGGTTTAAAACTTAACACTGAAAACATACATGCTACTAGTCTTATTTATAGTTTAAAAATAAGTTGCTTTCCTGATAAAAGTGATAAAAATGATCACCCTAGAAAATACTGACAGTACTATTCTCTCAAAGTAGATCACTAAGTGCCAAATGCTAAGGAGGAGCAAACGGGAAGTGAATTCTCATGCACATAGAAGGGATTTCTGAAAGCGGGGAGGTATGAAAAGGTATGAAATTAGCAGCGATGCCTACATAACTCTGAATATACTGAAAAATATGGAGTTATTTTTCAGCTTCAGAACTTGGTTACAAAGTTCATTAGAAAAGATAAGCTTCAAAAACACCTAAGAAGTTGTTTCTAAAAATAAAACACTATGCCATTAGATATTTAAATGTTAACATAGAGTAATTAAAAAGATGATACTCTTTCAAAAAGTCTCGGTAATGATTAACTATACATAAAGTCCATAAATAAAACCCAGTAAGTAATTGTGCACAGATTTTATTAACAGTGAATATAACATTTTACATAGACAAAAGACTCTATGCTCAATTTGTGATGACTGGTAAAAATTGACTCCTAGTGATCACAAGGAGATTAAAAAAAAAGCCCAGACATATCACTTACCATTGTACTGGACACAGACCGAATAAAAAGCACAGGAGCTGAGCACCAGCACTCACTTCTCTTTCCTGACTGGCTCAGTGTGACCAGACACCGCAGGCTCTTGCAGCCATTCTTTCTCAGCCAAGAAGGAAGGATCCCCTCAAACTGTAAGCCAAATAAATAAATCCCTCCTCCCTCAAGTTGCTTCTTGTCAGGTATTTGGTCACAGTAACAAGAAAAGTAACTAATACAATACTGTTAAGGTATTAAATATTCTGCAACATGAGCTCTAACTATTGTGTATCATTTTATCCTAAAGCTATGCTATTTAACAATTCCCTTATTTGATTTTACTCACATATGAGTAACATTCTCACACATAAAACTAGGTACTTATCTAATTACTCATTTAGGAGAAATTTTAGGAGTATACTTGCTGGAACAAAGAGAACAACTTTCTAAAATTCATGGTATGTACTGTAAAGTGCCCTCTTGAAAGGCTGTACAATTTATTTTCCTATTGGAAGTACAACTAACGCGTATTTCCAAAGCTTATGAATATTTAAACTTAAGTAATCTATTAATAATAGCTGAAAAATGATTGTTTCCTTAGTATCAAAGCTAAGTTATTTTTATGTTTGCTTTCCCTTTATTGTTATTTCTTTATGAATAAGCTATTTCACCTAATTCTCTTAATTTATGAATTACCTAATTAGTAAGTCATTATTTTTCTTATGGGCTTATTAGAGATATTTATAAAGAGATATTAAATCTCCATTTATAATGATGCTATAAACATTTTTCTCAATGTATAGTATTAAAATTGAATTTTCTTTTTTCCGGGTTTATTGAAGTATAATTGATAAGAACTGTATATACTCATAAATTGTAATTATTCCCATGTGTACATTGTAAAATTATCAAAATCAAGCTAATTAACATAGCCATCACCTCACATAGCTACTTATCATCATCAACATTATTTTTGTGTGTGAGACATTACAGATCTAGTCCCTTAGCAAATTTTAGCTCTATATAAGGCACTATTAGCTATGGTCACTAAGCTGTATGACAGCTTCAGCACTTACTCAAACTGTGACCCTGGGACCAGCAACGCCCGTTCCTGCCCCCAACTTTTCCAATATCATTATACTCTTTGCTTCTAATGACTTCAACATTTTTAGATTCCACATACAAGTGAGATCCTGCAATACTTACCTGGCTTATCTCACCTAAGGAGTGGCATTTTTTTCTAAAAAGTCAATTTTCACCAGTCATTACAAATTGAGCAAAGACTCTTGTCTATATGAAGTGTCATATTCACCATTAATGAAATCTGTGCACAATTATGTACTGGGATTTCTTTCTGGGCTTTATATATAGTTTTAATCATTACTGAGACTATTTTTGAAAACAGTATCATCTTTTTAATTACTCTATATTAACATTTAAATATCTAATGCCATAATATTTTTTAAAAACAATTTCTTAGGTGTTTTTGAAGCTTTTCTTTTCTAATTAACTTTGTAATCAAGCTCTGAAGCTGAAAAATAACTGCTCTTTTTTTTTTTTTTTTTAAGTATATTCAGGACTCTGTAGGCATCACTGCTACTTTCAACTCTTTTCACCACCCCCCTCAAAAAGCCCCTCATCCCCACAAGGAGTCACTTTGTTTGCTCCTCCTGAGCCTTTAACACTTGAGATCTACTTTGCCCATCTAAACATGCCAGATAAATGGACTCATATAGCTGACTTTGAATTTGGTTGCTTTTAGTCAGCATAATGTTTTGAGGTTCATCTACATTATACAATGCACTAGTGCTTTTCTTCTTTACCATGGCTTTCCTTTTCTCAGATGATACACATTGGAGTTGTTACCAGTTTGGGGCTGTTTTAAGTAGTGTGGCTACAAACATTCTCACACATTTTAGTATAAACATGCTTTCCATTCTCTTGGAGATATATACATGCGTGAAACTGCAAGATCATATAGTAATTCTTTTTCTTTGCGGGAACACAGCATACTGATTTTAACTATACTTCCCCTCCTCCCGTATAGAGTAATTGTACAGGTTTTTCTTTTTCAGGAAATGCTAAACTATCTTCCATAGTAATGGCACCAATTAACATTCCTTCCAGCTGTATGGAAGGTCCCTGTCATTGCTGCAGCCTTCTAGCTGGTATGAAGCCGTGATCCATTCACTTGGCTTTGATTTGCGTTTCTCTTGTTAATGATGTCGATTTTCTTTATCAGACATTTTATCTTTCTTCTGAAATGTCCCCATGTGCTTTTTCAGGTGACATGCTCTATCAGTCTTTAATTGGGCAGTCACAGTAAGTTTCGTTCACCTATGTCTTTCCACTCATACTAAAAAAGTAAGCTTTAAAATTTACATAACTACATGTCATTTAAGTAGAGAAACAAAATAGAAAATCAAAGGTCACGATTCTATGCCAGGGCACTGTTCGTCATTCTCTACCCTTTATTCATCTCTCAAAACTCATTTGCTCACTACTAAAACAAACAAAAAACCATACCACTGTATATGTGCAGATAGTTTGTGGTCTTATCTATCCCTTAGTTTTATGCCAATGACCTACTATAAACATTTTTTCTTTTAATAACATAATAAACTACAATTTTTAGTAGACCCAAACATTCCAATCTGTGAACATAATGCACCAAGTCCCTCACTACTGAAGGGTTAGTCTAATTTTTCAGTTATAAATGCTACTTTTATATATAAAACCTTCATGCTGAATAGCCAGCAGTGGTTGAGTGCTTATTAAGAGACTGTGATAAGTACTTTATGTGGGTTCTCCCATTCGATGTGCGATTACTACTACATCATTCAGTGAGAGTACTATCAAGGATTATCATCTTCATTGTATAGGCAAGGAAACTGCAAGTTAGAGGCTAGGTAATTTTCTTGAGGCTGCACAGCAAATTGGCGGAACACCCAGGACACAGATTAGGTCTGTATGGCCATGGAGTGGTGCCTTTAACCATCATCAGAGTTACTGTACCTCTCACTATTTCTTTAAGATAAATTTCTAGAAATAGAAATATTACAAACTTCACCCACTTTAAAAATATTTATTTTTATGTGTATGAGTGTATTGCCTGCATGAGTGTCAGTGTACCCATGTTGTGCAATGCCCATGGAGGTCAGAAGGAGGAGACGGATCCTTGGAACTGAAGTTACAGATAGTTGTTAGCTGCCATGTGGGTGCTGGGAATCAAACCCGGGTCCTCTGCAGGAGCAGCCAGTGCTCTTAAATGCTGATCCATCTCTCCAGCCCCACAAACTCCATCCACTTTTAAAAGCTAATATGCTAATACCTTGCTCTTTATTAGACTGCGACAACTTTTACAGGGCTTGGTTTCATGCTCTTACCAGTACTGGACACTAGTACTTCAAAACACTTTACAACTGTCTATGTCTGAAATAATGCCAGTTCCTTTACAAGTTCAAAAGAAAATTTTGTTTTTTATTTTGCTGTACTAGTGACCGAATCCAGTGCTCTACCACTGACCTGTACCTCTGACTTATTTATTTCTGTTTTGAGCTAGGGTTTTACTAAGTTGTCCATCTGTATTGGCCTTGAACTTGCCTTCAACTTTCGCTCCTCCAGCCTAGGCTTCTGAGTAGCTGGGGTCACAAGTGTGTGCTGCCATACCCAGCCTTACATGTACTTCCAACTTGGTTTAGACTAGTGGTACTTTTATTATTACTTCTTCTACAGACAGCACAGAACATGATCTGGGTGGGCCCGAATGTTTATAATGCAATTCAGTACATTTTACGGAAATAAAAAAAGTAAGACACTCTAAGTGGCAGAGACCATGGGTGGTGGGGGTGGTGGTGGCGGGAGGGGTGGCGGATGCAAGTCCCCCAAGGACAAGTCAAGAAAGAATGACAACATGTAAACTCAGGAGTAGATCCAGGCAGTTGAGCCAAACCCCACCAATAAGCTGTTATATTTAATGTAAGATGGTTGCAAGTAACCAAGAATTTCATGTTGGTCCTTTGTTTCTAATTGTATCAGAATGCTGCTCTCAAAGGCCCACATAATGGCAGGAAACTTGCCCCAGACATTTCATCTCACTGACCTTTCTTTTTAGTCTCAATTCTCCCCACATGCCCCACCCCTATCATCAGGTTATAGGGCAGAGATGATCAGCAATATAGCATTCTGTATCCATGACAACCTACCAGATTACTTGTGTGCCTCTAGATTCAGCTGCTTCTGATGAGTCTCAGCTGGATGCTGAGCTATTTCTTATACTCCCAACTAGACAATGAGCCCCTCAGACCCTCCAAGGGCTGTGCTATATTCTAACGATTTGCTACCTCAACTAGAGTTCTACCTGGTGGAGAGTTGAGCTCTGTCTTTACTACCACACCCAGGACAGTAGCTAGGAATGAGTACTAAAGGACCTTCGCAGGAATAAGTTGCACTCAGCTGATGAAGCACACTAGCAGCTGATTTCCCCTAACCACTTTACACAGAATTTTTACCACATTAACAAAGCTGATTCTCACAATAATTCCCATAGGCAGACAGTTCAGTTCTTGCTTAAAAAATGCTTAAGTCCATATAAAAAGTTATTTAGACAATTATTTCTCATTGATGATTTGGTTCTGAATCAGAAAGTGCTGTTCAGATCTAAGACTTCAAATCTTGGTCTGCAATACTGTAGTGCCCACCTGTAGCTAAGAGAGACAACCAACTATTGTTCTAAAATGATGGATAAATTTGTTTTCTCCCCCTATCTAGAAGCCTTTGAGAGGGAACTGACACTGATTCTAACCACTCCAACAGGTATAAAAAAATGAAATGTCAAGCTGGGTGTGGTGACCTTTAATCCCAGCACTCAGGAAGCAAAGGCAGGTGGATCTCTGTGAGTTTAAAGCCAGCCTGGTCTACATATTGAGTTTCAGGCCAGCTGGGGCTACAAGGAGACCCTGTCTCAAAGGAGAAAGACCAAATAAGAAGAAATGTCAAAAGCTTACTTTGCATGTATAGTTGGTGGGGGTCAGATATGAACCCAGGTTGAGGTGATTCTAAGCCTCTGCTCTTTCTACTCCTTTAGGCACCTCTCCTCCCTTCATGAACTGAACTGGAAAGGTCTACACTTCCATAACTGTAGCCTTAAAATCCCCTGGAAGTAACAGCTGTATTTGTCCTGGAAGATTCTTGGCTGGGAAACAAGAGGGAGCTGGGAAGGAAGATAAAAGAAGGTGGTAGGGAACAAAATTACAGGATGCTTCTCCATGACTCTAAAAGCACCAACTGGGGCACTCTGACCTTCAATTTGAACTCTTAATTGTCCAAATCCTGGGAAGCTTTCAAAAAAAGAACCATACATTCTCATGGAATTATAATACCATAAAAAGCCAAGGAAAAATGGGATGCTCTCATATAATATATCTCAATAAAAGAAAGAGAAGGGAGGGGAGGGAGATGAGGTTTCAAGAGCCACCTGAGGCTATGGAAAAGTCTTTTATCTGTAGATCCCACCCTCATTCTGATTCAGTAGGCCTGCAGAGAGACCTGGGATTCCTGAGGTAACCTAAAGGCTCTGCCACTTCAGACAATACCTGGGTGACTTTTCTGTCCCAGTTCCTCTCCTTTCCTTTCTGGGGGAGCAAATGATGAAAAGAATGCCAGCTAATTTGGTTAACTGACACATTTCCAGATAATACCAAGAAATAATTCCAATTCTAAAAGGATTAGTGATCTTTGTATTTCCGGGAATAAGCCTGTGGTCTAGCAGTGTATTGCCCTTATCAGTGCCCCAAGCTGCACCGGGAGAAGACAAACCCTTCTGTGATTGTAAGGATTTCAATGGAGACATCAACTATTTTGATCCTTTTGAGCTGCTAGACTATTACCTCCAGGAGGTGAAATACTACCAGAAGTTTCAAGGACACAGGGGCAGGATTGCCCATGGATAGTGAATAGCCTTACCTTGATATCTAGCTTGGCCAGGTGCTGTAGAACCCAGATTCGATGGGACCAGGCATTATAGTTGCTTGGATATCTCCCTGCTGCTTCACCACAGACTTCCATCTCCTCTTGTATTATTCGTTGTGTCCTCTCTGCAGGAACTATTCCTAAGTTTCCTTTGGTCACAAAGGAAGACAAGGAAGCTTCCTGAATTAGCTGCTGTAGCACCCATCGTCTGTTAATGTAGCATGGGGGAAAGGAGGAAAGAACATGTGAGAAAGGAAAGCAACCAGTTTTCTTTGCTCTTAGTTTCCAATGACAGATAATGCAAAGTACTAGTTATCTATAAGCTCAGCCCTAGGGGGAGGGGCTGCTGTTACTGTGTTTTGGAATATAACTGAATTTAGCAACATGAATTGGGGAGGGGGGAATGAGGACAACAAACAAGAAAGAAAAATCTTTCAAAAACTTTAAAATCTGTCAAAAAAAGAATGCCATCATTCCAGAATAAGTCCCTAACCCTGTAGCCAGGTAGCTAGTCCATGTGTGTGTGTGTGATGTGTGGGGATGGCTACGTGTGATGTGTGGGGATGGCTATGTGTGATGTGTGGGGATGGCTGTGTGTGGTATGTGGGGATGGTTCTGTGTGGTATATGGAAATGGCTGTGTGTTGTTTGTGGGTGTGGTTTGTGTATAGTTTGTGGGTGTGGTTTATGTGTGGTATGTAGGGAAGGGGTATTAATCAGTAGCTGGGAAATATGAGAAGAGAATCTTCAGATCTTCAATTATACATCCATGCCTTACTCTGTATTTGTTTGCAAATAAAAAGCTTCATTCATTGGGTAAAATTTCTTTAAAAAATTTTATTTTTGTTTTATGTGTATGCGTGTATTGCCTGCACGTAGGTAAGTGTACCCATGTTGTGCAATGCCGTGGAGGACAGAAGAGGCTGTTGGATCCCCTGGAACTGGAGTTACCAACAGCTGTTAGCTGCCATGTGGGTGCTGGGATTTGAACCCAGGTCTTCTGCAAGAACAACCAGTGTTCTTAACCACTGAGCCATCTTTCCAGCCCCAGGGTAAAATTTCTTTATCACAGCATAAAGTATGGAAACAAATAGTTAAACCACCAAGATTTTAAAATGTCTTTACAGAGTTTCCTTTTGTCTATGAAAGATTTACATTAGCATATTTTAGTCAATAGCAGTAAGAATTTCTATTTCATGTTTATATCAATATTTTAGTCTTATGAAAGCAATCTTTCAGACTAAAAATTTCCAACCCAAGGTACACAAGCTTAAGTAAATTCATTTCATTGTTAAACAATGAAGTTTCTATTTAGCAACAAAATACTGTTTTGTTTTTAATTATAGACTCCCTAATAACTGAGATAGACATTTAATAGTTCCTTTCTGACATCACCCTTTCCAAACCTCCATATACACTGGCATATGACTCTCTGAGTCATACCATGCCAATTTCTAGTAAGGAAGAGAATGCAGCTGATTGTGGTTTGGACAGAGTTGCCTTAAAATGTCAGCCAAAGGCAAGATTACAGCTAAGACATCTCAGCTGGCATAGGTGCCCAACAATGCCCACAACCGAGGAAATGTTAGTAAGGCTCAAGGAGAATAGACTGCTTGAGAGTGACTGCTCCAGGGAAGCCAACCAGCAAGCCCATACCATTCACTGTAGTCACAAATAGTCATGTGCATTCCAGAGACAGAGGCTTCCAGATAACCATGATTCTAGAACCCTTATCTGTATTCTGGTTATCTCAGGTGTTCACTCTAAAAAATGATCTTTGCATTTATGGTTTTCATAGCTTTTAGTTTAGTCTATACACCAATCACCTCAGTTGCCCTTAGCTTTCTTTAAAATTTTAAAATTTTAATAGTAATAACCATCAGACCACTGTCTTTAGCAGGAACAAACTCATGCATTTTAAAAACCCGAGTTGCTCATTATAGTTAAGAATCCAATTGTAATCTCCAAATCTGCTACAAATGGGTAAAGACAGCCAACATTTATTTTTTAACATGTGCCTAGTGCTGTGGTAGTGCCTGTACACGTTACCTCGGGAGCACTTAACTACTAACTCTACAAGGCAAATATTATTGCTCCTGTTTTACAAACGTGAAAACTGAGCCATGGAAAGTTTAAATAATTTCCCATGGACATTTGGGCAGGAAGTGACAGTTTCTAGAATTAAATGTCGGTAACTTGACTTTAGAATTCATATTCTGAACCAACACATAACCCTGCTTTTTAAGTTGTATTTTTCTCCAGCCATCTTGAATATGAAAGAACACTATAAATGAATCACACCTGTGAATCCATGTCTCTGGACTCTTTGGAAACTTAGTTAAGGCCAGCTTTCCCAGATGTAAGTCCTTAACTGGATTTAAAGTGCCAGAGAGGATCAGTTCTTTCCTGTAAAAAAAAAATATACACACACACACACACACACACACGAAAATATTATTTTTCTATTCAAATATTCTGCATTATGTTTAATGAATCTTCATGGTGAATTATCAAGAATTATTAAACAATGGACAACAAAAAACAATAGAGGCTGAGGAGACCGCTCAGTCAGTAAAGGGCTTGATGTATAAAGCATGAGGGCCTGAGTTCAATTCCAGATCCCACATTAAAAACCAGGTACACTGTGGCACTTATAATCTCAGTGCTGGGGAATGAAGACAGGAGGCTCCTTGGGTTTGCTGGCTGGCTTCTGAAAGTGTGGCTTTTGATTGCCACACTGGCATCTGTAACTCAAGAGAAAATGCAGACCCCCAGGTCTTGCCCTAGGCACACTGAACTACAAATAGTGCTTGAACCAATCTGTTTTAACAAACCCTTCAGGTAAAACATATTAGTTTGAAAAGCAGTGCTATAGAGTTCATTATAAGCTTAATTTTCATTTACTAAATTTAAGAACTATCCTTATTTACAACTACCTTATTTCCCTAAATACCCATATAAAGGGAGGTTCCCCCCCCCTCAGAAAAGAGGGAAGCACTTGTAACTGAGTCTTTACAAAGTTTCTAAATTAGGAGGCTAATCTTAATCTACTTCAACAATGAAGTAGTATTTTGGGAAGATGTCTTTTTTTAAGGTAGGGAGTTTGTTCTTGCAGTGCTGGTGATCCAACCCAAGGGCTCACACATCCCAGGCAAGCACTCTACCACGAGTTATATTCCCAGTCTTAATACATATTAGTCTGAAACAACCTCAATCAATGGCTTAAAAATATGACCTGGCAGAACCATAAAAAGGGAAGTAAACTCAAATTCAATTTCATAAGCCTTTCTAGGGGCAGGGTTGCTTATATGGAGACATTTGATACTGTTACAAGTAATTTTTTTGTTTTAAAGTTACCCTAAACAGAAATATGGTAGCTAAGTTACAGTAATCACATAACCTAGAGATGCAATAAGGAAAGATTAACTGCTCTAAGGAATATTGATTCAAATAAGTTAGCTGGCTGAAAAAAAATTCCAGTCACTTGAGTGCTCCAGTTAAAACACAATGGGCTCTGCAAAACTCAAAACTCAGAAAGTAAATCTTAAGATGACAGACACAGATGTAAATAAATCATGTAATGAGTTTCAACAAATTAATGAAATGCAAAAAGAAAAATGAAGAATTGTTGGGGGACCCTGCTGCTAAGGTCATAGTCCACCATGTCCGGAGAGCTCTAAGGAGCTCGGCACTATATGGAGGACTCCCTTTCTCAGTGGGGGCTTCCTGCTCTCTGCCTGACCTTATCTGGAAAATGCCTCAAAGCACAGATGCCTGGCCTTATTTGGAACATGACCTTAGGCATAGTTACCTGCAATAAACTGCCCCCAGGTTTTTTCTATATGATAATTAGGCATTGCCCTATAGCCAGATGATAGGATCCCCACCACATGTAAATTAAGCATACTATGAGCACCTATCATGTAAAACTTTGGCTGCCTCCTCCACCCTATATTTTCCCCGACCCCCACTGAATAAATGAGCTGTATCACTGAAACTGACTCCTCCTGGAAGGTCTCTTCCGTCATGCTCACTGGCCGTCCTGACCCTGTTCGTCGCCTCTGCTCCCTTTGTTCTCGTGGGTCAGTGGCCAACAGCCCATGAGGGGAGGGAGAGACCCACAAAGAATTTATAAATTAAATATCTCACCTAACATTTTAAAAGTACATAGCTAAATTGAAGTAAGTATTTTACAAGGCATTTACCTATTTTCTATATAGATTCTTAAACCCAACAATGTATTAGTCTGAGATTTATGGGGCACTACTTATCTCATACAATAGTAGTCATCCTAAAAAATAATCTGCCCTCTCCTGAACATTTTTGAAAAGGCACTATATTTTGTGATTTTATGTATGTTATCCAATTTGAGCTATATAAAACTTCCGGTATTCAACCATTTTTTAATTAAAATTTTATTTTGTAAGTTTCAGTTTTATAGAAATAGTGTAAAGATAACAGAACTACCACATACTTTGCCCCTGTTTCCCTATTTGTTAACACTAAGGTATGCTGGTAAAACTTGAAGAACCAACACTGATATATTACTACTTGAAGGCCAGATTTTATTCAGAATTCCATAGCTTTTAGCAAATGTCCTTATTTGAATTCCAGAGTCTCATCCAGGCTCCATAATATATTTGGTTATTTCTCCTTAGGCTCCTCTTCTCTCTTCATGTTTACATTGTTTTTCCTGTCATTTGATAGTTTTGAGAGTATTGTAGGGTGATTTTCTCATGATTAGACTGGGGTCATAGCTTCTGGGAAGAAAGACCACAGATGTAAAATGCCATTTCATTAAACATTAGGGGTACATGCTATCAACATGACTGATACTGTTGAAGATGACCTGAATTGCCTGGTAATTTATGTCAGGTTTCTTCATTATTCTTTTGAAGAAAGGCTGTCCCCATGATTTTTCTGAATCAGTGCAGAGCACCCACATAAGAGATGGGGAGTTAGGCTCCACCTTCTTGAGAGGAATTACCTATGTGAGTTAGCAGGCATTGTTTGCAGCCTCCTATTTATTGATTCATTTATATCAGTGTAGACTTAAGGATATCCATTTTACACTCTGGCATATAAACCAATACTATACTAAAAAGTCCACCCTTATCTGGAGTTCATAGTCAAGCATGATTTGAATATTTCAAATGGAAAATTTCAGGAAGAATTCCTAAATTTCAAACAGCATGTGGTTCTTAGAACATGATGAAATCGCATGTTACATGACTCAGGATGCAAACCATCCCTTGTCCAATGTGTTCATGCTGTGTAAGCCAGCAATCACTCAGGAGAAACATACTATCCTGGCTTTAAGACATCTACTAGAGATCTCAGAACACATCTTCCCAGAGGAAGGGGAGATTCCTGCATTTATCTTATTGCTCAAATCATTCTAGGTTTTGCTTTGAGAAGTTCTTTCTGTTGGTTCCTATGTAGCTTTAACATAGTCCCACTGTATTTATGTTTAATAGCACTTTCCTTACATTCTGCCTCTAAGATGCTCCAGGCCCATCTTGTATACTTCCTCACTTGGTTCTAGAATCAGCTATTTCTCCAGTAGGCTCAGTTCCTTTTATTAGAGATCCAGGTGCTAGGATTCAATTGGTTTTGATCTACTGAAACAACAATTTCATAGAGTTCATCCTAATTATTTTTCTAATTTTATAGACATGGAAAACTGAAGCTTGGAGAGGTTTCCCAACTCTGTCAGAACCATCATTAACTGCTCAAGGACACTTTAAAATACCTATGATAGAAGTTACTTAAAATCTTAAAAATCAGTTACAAATACAAAATTCAGCATTACAAAGCACTAATTCAAAATGTGACCTTGTTTAAAATACATAGAAAATTAAATAAAGTATGATTTAAGTCATCTTTAAAGACAGTTATAATTTATAGTGCTTTCCTATAGGAAAATTTAAAATAATTCAGAATATTCAATAGGACTTGACTTTTATTTATAATTTGTATTCTGCTTTTCATTCAAGAGAATTTGTTTAAGTCTAATGAAAATATCAGTTTATTTAATCTCATATATATGTATATGTGTGTGTATATGCATACATACACACACACACACACACACACACACACACACACACACAGTTTAGCTGAATAAACCAATAAAAAAAGATCCTGGTCTAAATTTTAGTATTTCTATCAAGTATTTTCTGTTAAAAGCTGCAATAATCAGAATCAAAGAACACAATACATTAACAAAATGCGATTACTCTTCCAAACACTGAATGTCAGAAATTTCAAATGGCTGGCGCACAGGAGTCACAATGGTAGTGGCTCAACTAAGACTAATGCAGTAACATCCTCATTACAATTTTCTCATTCCATGTACTTCCCATTGCACTATAGTGCTTCTCAAACTGCCAACCAATGCCTAATGATCCAATCAATGGTTCCAAATACCTGTAATCCCCCAAATAAGGGAAGACAGTGCCAAGGAGGCATCAGACAGTACACTGTAGCTCAACAAAACAATCTGTATTTCAGGAACAAATGTTTAGAGAAAATAAGTATGCTATAAAAGGAGCATAGTGTATGTGTTCAAACTGTCCTGCAGAAGTAAGTGGAGAATACTATGGACATATGGTTTATATTTCATTTGAAATAGATAACAGACTCACAGGGTTTCTATGTCTTCGGAAATCTGGACAAACTTCCTTATCACTGATGAAAATGACATACCTCACGTTCCATGCAGTGGTAAAGTCTGGGTTGAGAAGAAGCAGGGTGCACGTGACATCTATCAATTCTAAAATAAAAAGAAGCATATTGAAAACAAACAGTACTACCCAGCAAAGTCTGGCTTCCGTCTCTCCTTCTCTCCTTCATTATTTTATCTCATGTCGTATTAATTTTAATGACTGTTCTGAGCAGTCAGGGGTATAACTATTATCCTCAAGAATTTCTTCAATTTGTGGTAAGTATAATTCTTTTAAAAGTTGACATATGCCCATAAAGAATTAACCTTTCTACTCTTTAAAAAAATTTTTAAAAAAAATTATGTGTATGTATGTGTGGGTATATGCACATGAGTGCAGGTGCTTGCAGAGTCCAAAAGAGGGTGTCAGATCCCCCTGGAGTTACAGGTAATTTTGAGCTGCCTGAAGTGGGTTCTAGGAACCAAAGTTGGGTCCTGTGGAAGAGCAGCAAGCACTCTTCACTGCTGAACTCTCTCTCCAATCCCCACCTTTTAGTATATGTTTTGGCATTAATTTGTCCCAAGGGAAAGAAGCAATTTTAAAAACATCATTCATTTAATTCCACAAATATTTCAGGCACTGATTACATGAAAAATTTCAAAAGGAAAAAAAAAAAATTACCCCTATCGGACCCACTTTATTTATAGTCTGTTGTAAAGTTTCCTTTCTTCTGCACATTTTGCATAGCCACAGTAATAATAAAAGTACTGTAGTCATTTTTAAGGACCTTTATATTTTCTTAGAATGTATTTCCTGAAATAGAATTACTATGGCAAAGCAATATAAAAATCAATATGGTTCCTACTACTTCACAAACTGCCCTCCAATGGCCTGTGTATTTTATACTGCCAAGAGCAGCACAGTGTACTTGTGTCCCAGGTCTAACCTTTATAATTGTTTTGAAAATTCATTGTGTTAGATTAAAAAACACTGTACTCTGTTTTATTTTATATCTTTATACCATTAGTCATATAATCAATGTTTCAGTTTGTTTACTATTTATAGTTCATTGGTGATAACCCATTCATATCCACTAGCTATTTATCTACCATGGTCAAGGCAAAATGCCCATGGATTAAAATAAACTCCATAAGCCTGCAATTTTTTTTTTTTTTTTTTTTTTTTGAGACAGACAGGGTCTCATGTAGCTCTGACTGGATTGGAATTTGTTATATAAACTAGGCTGGCCTCAGCTTCAGAGAGATCTATCCACTTGCTTCTGCCTCCTGAGTGCTGGGATTAAAGGTTTGTACCACCATGTCATCCTCTATAAACCTGTGTTTAAAAGAACTAAATTGGTTAAATCTGGACATACTGTCTTCATTAAAAAATGAAGAAAATTTTATAAATTATTGCTAATCTAGAGACACAATGCTAACTTAGGCAACACACCAGAGTTTTATTATATGCCACACAAATAAAAGAAATAGCTGTGACCATGTATTTTGCATTCCTGGGTAACATTATAAATTTACATAACATTATATTTTTATTCATATTATTTTACTGCATTCTCGCAATTATGACCCAAGACATTTTTATGTTCTACTTTACTGATACGGAAAATGAGATTTAGAGTTTTTAACCAATTTGGTTTTAGTCATCCAATTAGTATGTCACAGGGTTAACATTTGACCACTTTTTAACACATCAGTTGTACGACAATTGAAATGTATATCTATAACAAGTAAGACACTTTCAGTGTTAAGTACAAAATAAAGCTTCTAAAAATTAAGAACACATAAGTATCTCATGTATTCATTTAAAAGAGGCTAGCTAACAATATCAATTATTCTGTTCCTCCATGATCTTAATAAAAAATAAATATTTATTTTGAGTTCAAGATTTCACTCCTACTGGCATCTAATAAAAAAACTGTAGGAACAATGCCCATTTTTTGTCGTCTATATCCCTCCCATTACAAGTCATAATGTGCAAAGTGTGAGTGCCTATTAAGAACAAGGTAATCAATCTCTTTCCTTTTTAAAGTTTTTGCACTAAATATTTGCCAAGGGAAATGCAATGTTTTATTAGCACTATACGCCACAAATATTCCAAGTATCAACAATGAACAATGATTACACTGGGCCTAGAACTGAAAGAATGGATATAATTAAAATAGATATGACTTGAGGTCACCCTTTATAGGGTTATCCTCAAGTTGGAGGGAACATATAAACAAACAATCATGTAGAACAAAGGAAGTAACTGCAGTAAAAACACGACCACACTTGGCAGCCTTCTGAAGAAGCTATAACTAGGGTCCCATGAGAGACTGTAAATGAGGACGGTGGTAAAGGCGCTGCAGACCATGGGAAAGCACAGCAAAGGCAAAGTACTATGAACCTCACATACGGTGTACTCTCAAAGATTATGGGGCACAGCATACCTGGAGCACAATGTGTTAGAGAAACGAGCTAGGAAACAAAACCTTCTTGAACCTAGCCCTATCTCTTAACAACCTAGCTCCCTACTTTCCTGCTGTGTTATGCTCCACCTGATACTAACCCTACCATGCTCTGAACATACCCTTCAACTTGCCTACTTTCTCTTCTCTGAACAGAACTCAGATTTACCTGCTTGCCATTCTTTCCATCAGAAATGTCTTCCGATGTTTAAACGTGTAAAATGTAATAAATGTTTTATGTCTCGGGAGCTCTTTAGTGCATCTTTTCCTTAAAGCTTTCCTGGCTTCTTCACTAGACAAAATCTTCCATCTGTTTTGTGGGTGTATTACTTTGTTACATCTATAAAGCACATCCTCTTAATCAGACAATCAATTAGGGAGGCAGGTATTCCTCCTGAATAAAACTTCAAATCATTCAACAAGCTTTGTGAGCATCTGCAGTGAACACAGTACTAAGCTGGGTGAAGATATCAAGACTTGACCTCTGATAAAGGAAAGGCCACATTAGTACACAGCACAGAGAGTGTAGAATAGTTTCTAGGGTCATGCAAGCTGGGTTTGAATCTAGCTTCCCACTTACCATCTGTAAAATTTAACTCCTTTGGACCTCAATTTCCTTACCTGTGAAATGGAGACAACAGCCCACACTGTTGTGTGCAATGAGTCTTATCCAAGTTTTCTATAGCTGTCTGACATGTAAATACTTTCATTTACCAATGAAGAAATAAACATTCTTAACATTAATAAATCAAAACTAAACAGGCAGTTTATAGTGAAACTGTCTAAATTCCTAAACTTGTAAATTAAAGCAACATTTTTTTTTTAAGCATTTAGTTTAGAAGCTATATGGAAAGGTTTATGCATGATGGGAAAGCTGTGGAGTTTGTTTGATGTCTGTAATTTTTCAAAAGCCTGTTATACTACCTGAGTAAACTGACACTCAGTCCCTTTGACTCTCTACATTACGGAAAAATGAATAACCAATGAGTTACTTTTGTCTGTACTTTTAATACAGCTCCCTTCCCCAGCTCCCTGTAAGTGAAGACAAGGTCATGTTTCAAGAGAAAGAGACTGCAGCAGAGCAGCACACGACAGACACTAACAAGGTACAAAGCAAACACTGAAAAGCCTACTCGAATTATGGCTGATCAAAGTAGTGCTTCCTTCACTAGGAGAAGCAGCTGCTGGAATCACAGCCCAGCTTTACCACTTATCGGGGAGTTCGGGGAAGGGCAGAGGGGGGATCACTCTCACTGTGCTTTAGTGTGTTTTATTATATATGAAGCTAATAACAGAACTACCTTATACAAGTGTCAAATGATTAATATCATGAAGTCTCAGGACAGTATCTGATATGCAGCCAACACTGAATGTTAATTCTTATCACAAAGCTTGTAACCCTAGTCAGCGCCACAGGAGCTAAGAACAATGCCTACTAGGAAGGAAAAAAAAAATCCAAGCTGAGCAGTGAGTACTGAGCAGAGCGATAGTTAAGAATCTTGGGACTGAAAACATCAGCAGTCTTGACAACCATCAGTGGCACCTAGTAATTAAGTACAATCACGCTTTCTCCTCTTTACAAACTGCTCAGTCTTCATGATTCAGAAGTCAAGCTCAGAAGCAAGAAGTGGGGATAAAGTAGAATGTTAGACACAGGAATGGGCCAACCAAGAAAAAGTAACTGGGTTAGAAATACTAGAGATAATTAAAAGTCAGATACTCAAAGAAACCTTGAGGTCCCAATCAGCACTCTCTTTCAGTGAGGAAAGAGGAAGACAGAGATGAAGTCATTTGACCCGAGACTGTTGATGATCTGGATGAATTTAGGTCTGTCTTTCCAGAAAGCAGGGAGATGCTCTTCCTGTGCTAGCTTTTTGCTAATACTTTGCCTTCTGTAGGAAGGGTGAGCCAAGCTCTAACATAAACATGTATAACTAACAGTTGGTCACAAATATTTCACTCTCTAAATGTCACTAACCATAAACCATTTCTTCAATACCTTAACCAGAAGGCACAAGCTACTGAAAGTCCCACAGTCTCTTGAAACTAAACAGGTTTCTCTCCAGATACCAAAACATATACCAGTAAACACATGTTTATTATCTACATTCCAATGTATGAGTAACCCATCATTATATCACAGGCAGAAAATGAATCTGGGCACATCATACATAAGAAAGTAGCTAAACTATGGCTAGAGCAAGAAAATAACACAAAAGAACTACAGATGCCAGAGGAAAAACTAATATGCTTTCTTTGTTATACTGCATTCTAGCAATGGTCTGTCTGGTACCAGCAGCATCTGGTCACTGGGTTTTACAATTCTCTCTGACACAGAAAGGTTTCCACGCATCTAGAAATAAATTCAAGACAACACTGGTTAATCTCCTCTTCCAAAATATACTCAGGTACTACATAAAGAGAAGCTTAAGATAAAGTTATGTTTGTTATAACACACAGGCCCCCTGAATGGGTAGCTAGACTGAGCTAAGAACCCTGGTTACTCATCTCTTCCAGACATGGCTTCAGCCTTTAACAGTGTTGAGTGACAAAAGAAAAGAACAAGCCCTAACCCCTGCAACTCCCAACCCAGCAGGGAGAAGTGTTTAAAGAATAAACTACAATACAGTATGGTACGCACTTACTATGCAAGTCATCTGAATAAAGGAGCCATAAAAGCAGAGAGATTTACTGTGTCCTGAGGCAGTGAGAGGGCTTCAGAGGGAGGAGTGTGACTTCAGCTTGCTTCCACTGGCAAGTATGCTGATGATGGCCACACAAGGCACACAAATAAGGCAGTAGCAGAATGAATTCAAAGAATGGAGCAATGTGTGGCTGGAGTAGTTACCAAATGCTGCAAATACAAATGCCTGCAGGATCCAAATAAATGTCAATAGCAGCAAGTTCTTGGTGTCTGAAGGGTGTGGAGAGGCTATGGTGAGTCAGTAGTCCTGCCTAGTCAAGACAATCACAGGTACCACGCATGCTATGCAGAAAGTTAAGCATCCAGGCCTTCAGCTTTTTCAAATAAGGACAGAAACATAGATTTTTATCTTAATTTTAAACATTTATTCAGCTAGTTGAGAAATACTATGCAAGGCAAAATAAAGTGGATCTGTAGATGAGTGTCAGTCAACTATGTTTTCCAATGCTGACTATGAAGTGGAAGAAGGACTGGTAACTGGGCTGCGGATAGACTGGATTGCTAAAGGCCTTGAGAACCAGGGTAAGGAACTTTAACACTCTGTCAACTCTGAAAGCACTATGAACAAACAATCCAAAAACGTATTTCAGAGAAGTGTCTCTCAAAGGGTCTTAACGGAGTGCTGGAGAGTGTTATGTGAAGTAACTGGACACTGGCATGGGGGTCAGGGATTACAGAGAGCCTCAAACAGAACCAACCAACTGTGAGGGAGTAAGTACCCAGCTAGAAATAAAGGCTTAGCTAGACAGACTAGGTAGAGGGAGGGAGAGAAAGGAGGGATAAGGGGGGTGGGGCTTTTAAAGAATGCTCAGCTACAGACTGAGACTGGGGGTTATGAGAGGGAAGGAAGAAAAAAAATACCGGAGGACACACTTAAAGACACAGGAGCTGAAGGAGTTCTGCCCAACTGGGACATTCAATGTTCTGATCGTCTTTCTGGTCTCTCTGTATCTTGGCTGGCCTGGAACTATGTAGTCCAGGCTAGCCTTGATCTGGCTCTTGACTGTGCTCTGCCCACCTTTGCCTCCCAAGTGCTGGGATTAAAGGTGTGTGTGTCACTGAGCTGGTCGGATTTTTTTATACCAATCAGAATTGTAATATCATTCCTCTGTTAAACAAAATATGGCTATTACTACAGCAGACTTTAAAAAAACAAACCTCTAATTAAGCAGAATGTTTTCAAATTTTTAAAGAACTTACCAAACTAATGAGTATGTGACATATTCAGGTTAAAAATAAAATCTATTCTGACAATAAAGGTCATCTTGAGTTATGAAGACATGACCAGGATTCAGGCCTCATAAAACACAAACACCGGAATTCAGAAACCTCTTTAAGCATCAGCTTTCTACCCTTGGTACTTTTTATACATAACAGCACTTTCTACAAAAACATCTTTTAAAGAAATAGCATTTTCCACATAATTGTGATTATTTTTTCCTTAGCAGGATTCACCTCTGTATTCTAACTGCTTTAGTTTATAAGTTTGGCACAATACTCACATATTAGCATTTTTGGATATCTCTGTCAAATCAGAACTGTCCTTCTTTTACTGATAACGTACTATTTGACCTGTATGTGACACCACATTGAACTATGCTGCCCTCCCCTCCCCAAGTCTTAGATTGTCCTAATTCTTGTGGGGACAGCCCAAGATAAAATCAAAATCTGTTTTCGTAGATCCTTCTGTCCTGTGGTGCTAACAAGACTAAAATTCTGTGAATGAGACAGAGCAAAGTCTGTAGCACAGTGCCCAGAAAGGTGAGAAATGGAAATGGCAAGAAGGGCATGGACAGGCATGGACGGCCACAGGAAAGGTGGGCTGAGGCAGCAGACAGGAGCATGCAAAGTCTAATACTGTACAACTATATCCTTGACTTTAGAAATTCTTACTGTTTCTTCTCTGCACATATTCTGCCTCACCTCTTACCCCAGTTAAGTATGCACAAGTTACATATTTCCATACACAATGGTAAAAATAACACAGCTTCATTTGGCAAAAAGTAATGTGCTAGGCACTCATGCTGTTCTCAACCCAGGACATGGTGATGGAATCAAAAGTGTAAAAAGTCTAATGAAAGGCAAATTCCCTTCTGTCTGTTGAATATAAACGTAGGCCATGCCATCAACATCACACCAAGCTTAGGCAGAGCTTTTTCATTAAGAAACAAGCATCCATGGACTAAGCGACTGAAGCAGTCACACAGAAAATAGAAATCATTTCTCATTAAACCTTTAAATCGGACTACTTTATGATCCAAAGAGGGAAAAGAACCATTAACCTATTTTGATAGTCTGCTAAGGGCAGTACTGAGAAAAATTCAGGGACGTCAGATGTGATACACCAGCAACACTTTTCCCCCAAAGAAGCTGTTCAGCACTCAACTTTAAATTTCTTAAAGTGTGCTGGATAGCTTTAGTGTCAACTTGACACACCTGGGTTGAGGGAGGCTCAACTGGAGAATTGCTGTCATAGAACTGGCCTGTGGCCAAGTCTGTGGGGCATCTTCTTGATTGCTGAGTGATGTGGGAGGGCCCAGCCCACTGCGGGTGGTGCCATCCCTGGGCAGGTGGGCCTGTGTTGCATAAGAAAGAAGGCTGAGGAGGGGCCAGGGAGTAAGCCAGTAAGCAGAGTTCCTCTATGGCCTGTACTCCAGGCTCCTGCCTCCAAGTTCCCGTCCTGAGTTCCTACCCTGGGCTCCCTGCTGAAATGTGACCTGGGAGATGTAAAGTGAATAAAGCCTTCCTCCCCAAGTTAGTATTGGTCAGAGTATTTTGTCACAGCAATGAAGAAACAAACTAGGACATAAAGGAACCATGTATTTTTCATCTTTTACCCCTCACAGTGCTCAGAACAGTTCTGTAAGAGTAGGCCCTTGGTAATGGCTACTGAACTGGTAATTAAAATTGTCTAGGAAAGAAAGTTCTTATTCACAATCAGTCGACCAGCATACTGAGCACTGCTGAAGACTGCTGTGAGGGAAGAGGAAAAAGTTTTACAGAAATAGCAAAGGACAGGGTCTTAAAGGAACAGCGAGTGAAAGTGAAAACTGAAGTGAGCCTAAAACCATAAGCAGAATTTCTGCACCGGAGGCTTAATGTAAGGCAGCATTAAGAAAAGAGACCAGTGAGATCATTAGGGATTATCAGTGTGGTAAGAATTACCACAGAGGAACGGAAGAAGTAAAACCCTGATTTTCATTCTTTCTCTTTTTCTCTTGCTTTCTTCCTTTTTTCTTCCTTCCCTCCTTCCCTTTCTTTCCCTCCCACCCTCCCTTCCCCCTCTCTCTTATTTCCTCATAGAAACAAGACTCAGAATCCCTCAACTGGGATTCAAAGTGAAATGGCACATTCGTAAATCACAAAACTGTCTCACACTATAACTACTATAAATACACACCTTGATTATCTCATTTGAATTGCTACAAAGTTCTACTGTCCATAAAAAGCTAAGGTTCTCAAATCACAGGTGGGCTTAGGGGAACACAAGAATACTCCTTTGTGTGCTCAAACTTTTTTAAAATTATAGGATACTATCCTTAAATAATGACCGTGGCACATTAACATATATAGTAAAAATCACTGTGCTTGCACAGGTGGCTTGAAATCTTGCTTGAGATACTTACATTATAATCACTGTAGTTACAAAATAGGAAAACTAATGATCCATCCAAATGCCTCACTTGACAGATGATTAAGGCACCTGCTCACGGAGTGTGGGAAAGAGCAAAAACTAGTATCCAGGAATGCCAACCCCCAAACAAGGGTTCTTCCCAGGGGAGGAAGATATGGTTCATACTTACCATCTTTGTTCAGCCTTTGCTTTCTTGTTCTGTACAAAAGAAGCTTGTTGTGGACATACGGTAAAAGGAACTTGACACACCAGCTTTCCACACCAAGTTTGTTTTCAACCAGGACAATGGGACTCCGGTTATACCTTGCTTCAGGACATGGGATCAGGCCAATTTCATCTCTTAATATGTAAGACATAAAAAAGAATTGAAGATAATACTGGCTTTAAATTTTTTTTCTAATTCCAAAGAGTTAAAAGCTCAGAAATTTCCCTTAAGAATATTACTTAGCGATGAAAACAAGCAGTCTGTTGGTGACAGCAAGAATAGAGAGGAAGGAGCACACTGCAGTGCTCTCCAAGGCGAGAGTGAAAGTTCAGCTTATTTTTAGATAGTGAATTGAAAACACCTTTCAAAATGTTAAAGCATATACTTTTTGACTCAGGAATTCCACTGCTCAGAAACTATCCTACCCTAAATGAACAGTATATTCACTGCAATATTGTAGTAAGACAGGAAACAATCTAATTGTTTAACAAACAATACTGGTAAAGTAAGTATAGCCCATCCATATGATAAAGCTGTTAAAATAACAATGCGGGTCTGCACACTGGTATGCCTGGCAAGGTATATGCGAAGAAAATAAAAATGAATATAATGAATAGAATAAAGCCTTTATATAATTTCTCCCCCACCATATAATTTCTTTAAAATATATAATTTTTTTCTTGGAAAAACATCAAGAATTTTTTTGAGAAAGAAGGTAATGAGAACTTTTATTTTCATAGAAGTTAGCTGTCTTTTCACTTGTATTTTTCTACTTTTTAAGGATATAAACCAGTGAGCAGAAATAAATTATCAATAAAAGCTATCCTGCCTATAAGATTTTTGGATATTTGAGCCAGATGTGGTGGCACACACCCTTAATCACAGTGGCAGGTGGATCTCTGTGAGTTGAAGGTCAGTCTGTTCTATATAGTGAGTTCCAGGCCAGCTGGGGCTACAGGGAGACCTTGTTTCAAAAATAAAAACAAAGAGTTTGGTCATTTGTTCTCTGTATATTGTGGGAAAAAAATTACCTTAATCAAAATGCAAAATATATTTCAGAACATGATCAACTTAAATTGAACATTTTTACTACAGACAGAGACTTAAAAAACATGTAAAGCATTTAACTTAACCAAACCAGTAAACAAAAACACACATCACTCAACTGCAAAAGTTAATTTTTTGCCTACATAATATCCTAAACAGAATGCCCTTCATTTAATGAATAACAAGAACTCTTTATCAGAGGCCAGAGAGACAGCTCAGCAATGAAGAGCATTTACTGCTCTTGCAGAGGACCCAAGTTTGGTTCCCAGTACTGATGTCAGGTGCTTAGAATCACCTGTACCACCAGCTCCAGGGGAACCTGGCATCCTCTTCAGGTCTCCATAGGTACTGTACTCACATGCACAAACCCACACACAGATACACACAAAGATAAAAATATTTTTTTAAAAAGAACTCTATGATAATAGAACTCTTTAATGAGGGCTGAAGCAATGGCTCAGTAGGTTTGCTATGGAAGCATGAGACCTGAGTTTGAATCCCTAGCACCCATGTACAAAGCTGTCTGTGGCCACACTCACCTGTAACCGGGGGCCGTGAGGGGCAGAAACAGGAGGATCTCTAGAGTTTTTTGGCCTGTCAGTCTAGTGAGGGAGAGAGAGAGAGGTATAGATAGATCTCTGGGTTCAGTGAGAGACTTGTTTCAAGGGAATAAGGGAGTATGATAGAGCAGACCACCTGATGTCCTTTGTTGGCCTCCAAACTCCTGTACCCTCACACACATGTGCATGTATACCACATGTAACATACACAACAAAAAAATAGTAGAAATCTTTTAACAAAGTCTTTAAAGTTTTTTAGTCTATTTAATATTTTAAAAGATTTTCTTTCTGTTTGTGTGCACGTGTGTGTCTATGGGTGAGTATACATACATGTGTGCAGGTGACCTTAGAGGACAGAAGTGGCATTACATCCTCAAGAACTGCAGTTACTGGTGACTGTGAGCTGCTTGACATAAGTACTGGGAATCCAACTCCTGTCCTCTGTAAGAGCAGCAAGTTCTCTTAACCTGAACCACCTCTTCAGCCCAATGTGCTAAAAAGGAAGTGGGGGGGGGTTGAGGATGTATCTCAGTTGGTAGACTAGCATGCATGAAGTCCTGAGTTCAATCCCAACCACCATCTAAATTGGGTGTGATGGTACACAGCTATAATTCTAATACTTGGGAGGCAGAGCCAGGATGATTAGAAATTCAAGGTCATTCTCAGCATATAGCAACTTTGAAGCCAGCCTGGGCTAAATAAGATGCTGTCCCCCTGCTTGAATGAATGAATGAATGAATGAATAAATAAATAAATAAATAATAACTGGTCTTCAGAGTTTATGTGGGCCCACTGGGATTCCTTTGCCAGGAGGATAAATGTTTGATAGACCTGGGGGAGGGGCAGGGGAAACCTGTTTAATTACAGATTATAAGAAAAATCTTTTGTTAAGTCACCATCACAAATTGGTAAAAGGTATGGATCTAAATTAAAATCCCTCCTGAAAACTCTAAACTGGGTAGCTCAGGGGTGACCTGCTTTCTACTGATCACTACATTAGTTTCAGATAATGCAAAAATGAGTAAAATGAAGCAGAGACTTCAAAGACTAACAGTTTCTGAAAAGACGTCAGTGTCTGTAATAAAATGCTATCACTTTGCTGTTCCAGTAATACAAAAAAAGTTCTGTGTGAAAAAAATAAGGGCAACACTAAGAGAGCATCTGAGGTCAATGTCCAGCATTTTAAAACATGACTGTGCATTTATATTTAGTGATATTAACCTGGATTCTACCTAATTCACTAAGATGACAACCAGCCATATCCAATATACTGATGATGGCATATTCCAGCATTCAGATTTTACTATATTAAGTAGAATATTTTAATAACCTAAAATTAGCCAACAAAATAAAGAAGAAACAAAAACCCTCACTCTAATTATTCAGGAGATTCTGTTCTCTGAGATCTAATAACTACTTATAATACTTCAAAGAACTCCAAGAGCTAAAAACATGTTATAGTAACAAGAAAAAAGTATCCTAGCTTCTGGGTTGTTTGGGGAGGAGTTTTGGAGGCTGTTTTTTTAAAAAACTTAAATTTACAATGTTAAACACAAGTCTTGCTCACCAGTTGTACTAGAAATAAAATGTCCAAGTACTAATTTGGTACCTAAATTATAAGACAAAGCCATCTGCAGAATTAAAAAATACACTGTCGTGGTTGGCCACACTTCTAAGAAATACTTTTAAAAAACTAAAGTCCTTGAGGACAGCAGGTGCTTGGTAACTGCTTACCCAAAGGCTGGTTATCCTTACTCTTCAGCAATACTATTTAAAAAGTTTTCAAAGGTTATCATTACTTGACCTTCCAAAAGAATATTACCTTTGCTTTTCTTTTAGTACAGTGTACTGAAAACAGCATGGGTCATCCATCAAGCCACTTCAGCCTCTACAGACCTCACTCTCCCCCTCTGGGAAAAGATAGAACTGCATAATAGCTCTAGTAAAGGAAACAGGCTAGACTGCACCCTGCTTTCAAATTTTATGACAGAGAAACTGAGCATCTGTTTCCATGTATGGAAAATAACTGTCTTAATAATGTTAATCTTAGGAGAAAATCACAAACACGTGGAAAGAAGCAGTGCAGTGTAGAGAAAAAGCACTTGATAACAAGCCCAGGATTATAACTAGTCTCCTTTCTACCACTGATGGTCCCTGTGAATTTGTTAAGCTCACTTTTAGAATTCTCATCTGAAATATAAGAAAAATGCTTTCCGTTTGATATAAAAACCAAGAACATAGCAAATTATGAAGTGCTAGACAAAGGTGATTATCAATTCAAGAGCCTGAGGTCAGTCAGTGAAGTTTGCTAATAGATAAAAAAGAATGTTAAGCCTTTGTCAAGTTATTTGATCCTAAGATACAGTGTCTTGCTGCTTCCTAAAAGATGCAGCATCTCCTTTATAAAGATAGGTAGTCCGTGAGACTCCCCAAACCAGAATGTTTAGTCTCAGACCTCTACGTCTACTCCATTAGCTCACAGTCCAATTTGTTTTTAGACAATTAGGATTCCAGATCATTAAAAAACAAGGAACCTCATTCCTCCTGTCTCTCTTTTTATCAGATGAGGAAACTGAGGTCCCCTAAGATGAAGGGATTACCTGAAGTTGTGTGACTAGCAGTTGACTTAAGAATCTGGGTCTCCAGTTTAAATTCTGATTCCAAACTCAAGAAGATGTGGAAAACTCAGAAAAATACAAACTAAAAGTCATCGGTTTGTCTCGTTTGTCTCTATCCTCTATCATCTATCTCTGTTAATGTTGTGTATGTCTTCCCCGCCCCCAAGTATTTTACAGAAAGTGAAATCACACTGGACATGACCCTTTTAAAAAAACTTAGAAAATTTCCTATATCACGAACTGCTATTTTAAACATCTACAATGAATATGCTATAAGCATCAAATAATTTCCAATTATTTTCTCATGAAATAGTCTTGTATGAAGAATCTCTGACTCTTTCACCACCACTAAATTCCTTCTTTTACATTTTTAGGTTTCTAGATCATTTAGATTCCTGGGATTAACAATATGCTCAAATAAATATTACCTGCATAACCAAGATCACAGAATTTTTAAAGGAATGAAGGTCTGGGGCAGCAAATGAGTTTTTTTTTTAATATTTTATGTGTAAGAGTGTATTGCTTGCATGTATGTGAGTGCACCCATGTTGTACAATGCCACAGAGGTTAGAAGAGGGCTTCAGATTCCCCTGGAACTGGAGTTAAGGACGGCCCATAGCTGCCATGTGGGTGCTGGGACTCGAACCTGGGTCTTCTGCAAGAAGCAGTCAGTGCTCTAACTGCTGAGCCATCTCTCCAGCCCCAACAGCAAACAAGTTTTAATCTTCTCAAACAGATACTACACTGCTCACGGTTGAGGTAGCCTTGATAGGCTGCTCCAAAGACAACATGGAGTAAGCCAGCACCTTTACTTAGAATCATATACAGCAGGAGGTACCTGTTTGTGTGCCCTACTTCACAGCGGAGATCCACTTAAGTTCAAGGTTCATGTTACAAGGATATCATCTTTATTCCAATGTTTAGAATCTTCCCTAGTCAGTTTATTTTGTAGAAACATCAACAGTCATTTAAAACTTATCTTTCTGTTCACAAAAGAAGTATCAACTAATTTCCTTTCTAGGAAGAATGGATACTAGAATCCAAATACTAGAACTGAATTCTATATGTCATAACTGAACAGAAACAGCCTAGATTCTGGATAGCATATAGCTATCCTTTTAATCTAACAGTTAATTTTGTTTTTCAAACTGAAATTCTTTCTAGAATGACCACAAAGTCAGTAAAACATCTGAGGGAACTGACTCTTACATATTAATAATGAAAACTTTACCAGCAATGAAGATAATTCAGAGGCCCAATTGGCTTCCTCATTAATTTTAAAAACACTTTTGTGCATCACTGAAATTACATTACTGACCTTATTTTAAAAACAGCTACACAAATTGCTATTGTTTATTGTGTGCCACACTCTGTGTAAGGTTTTGCATACATCATTGCATTTATTCTATGCAATAACTAACAGTAAAAATTGTAGCCCAATTTCATAGATGGAGAGTCTTATCTTTAGCTAATATAAAAAAAAAAAGACAAGGTTCAAATCCATGACTCAAATTTTAAACACAAACTTTTACAACTATATTAAGTACATAGAAATCATTTATAAGACTATTAGATTCTGTGATTTCTTATTCTTCAACTTAAACTGTCTTTCATTATTACTCTTACAAATTTTCAGTGGGGCCTTCCTATTGTTTAGAAAGTATATGTCTCAATTTAAATGGTATTCCTCTGAAAGAACTATCTTGGACTTTTAATGCAAATAAAGTCTCCCAGTTATTATTTTTCATATCATTCTTACCCTTTCTGCCTATTTTCATATGTGTTGGTTTGTTTGCAGTTCCAGTAAGGATAGGGACCATAATTCAACTGTGCACTAATCTACACTCAGCTCCTAGCAGGGGTCTCCAGAGATTAGCATTGTCTCCTTCAGACGGAAGTATTCTTTTGCTGTACATATGAAAGAAAGAAATTCAGCCAGATAGTCAGGACTTCTTTAGTCTGTCCCTACAGAATCCTTCAATCACATTTGTTACTTTTGGCCAATATACCACTCCCAGAGGAAGCATGTGGTTCCCCCAGACACTTAAATCCTATTCATACTTAAATGCTCACATTAAAAATTGCCTCCCAGCTGGGTATAGTACTGCACACCTTTAATCCCAGCACTCAGGTGGCAGAGTCAGAGGTAGGCAGATCTCTTGTCAGATCAAGGCCAGCCAGGTCTACATAGTGAGTTTCAGGCCAGGTGGGGCTACCCAGAGACCCAGCTCAAAAACAAAACAAACAAAAAACCCCACAACAACAAAAATAAAAACAAAAATAAAATAAGCCACTTCCCTAGGTGTCCTGGTCCAGATACACCCGGCTTCCCTTCTCTTTCAAAAGACACAGTACTTACTCAGTATACAGCTACTGCAGGGTTAACTGATCATTCATGCAGGTAAGTCTTAGGTCTCTATTTAGACACATAACACACAATAATCACTTGTCATATGAGGTTATTATGTTTAAAATCAAAGTTCAGTTCTCATTCACATTAAGCACATTTCAAGTGCTCAATAGCTACATATAGTTAGTATAGTGCAGAACATTTTAATCATACCAGAAATTTGTCTCCAGTACAAAACCATATTTTTAAACCCCCCATGTCTCATATAGAGAACATTAACATGATCCTAATTATGCTGCATATCCTAACATTGACATGATCCTAATTATGCTGTACAGTAGACAGCTGTCTTCCACACTTATATTTCATGCTAATGCCTATTCCTGGGTCAAGCCATTAGTTGCAGAGAACCCAGCAGGATGTCCTGTCAGCCATAAACACAATATTTGTGTTTTCCAGTTTACAGAGTGTTTCACATCCCTCATTCATTTGCCCAATATATTTCTGGCAAGGAACACAGGGACTCAGGCTAAGTCTAGAACTTTCTTCTCATTAGCCTTACAAGATGAAGAAATGGAGGCTTGACGGGTAATCTAGCTACATCTGACACAAACAAAATTTCTGTCTCATTTACTCCCCCTCTGCTTCAAGTAGCTACTGACACAAAGTTACTCAATGATGTAGATGTCAACAGATAAAATGGCCATCTATCTCATGTTGGTGAAAAGGGAAAACAAAAATAATAAAAAAAACTTTAAAAAATATTGACTAGATGCTAACCTTAAAGGTAAGCATTATCATATATATGATATATATCTCACAAACTTTTAAAACTATATTAAGTACATAGAAATCATTTATAAGATTATTAGAGTCTGTGATTTCTTATTCTTCAATATATGATATATCAGTCTCAAAGAAGCCTAGATTAAGTAAACGCATACTGGCAATTCTAGAGAGTACAACTTTTAAGACTTAAATTTTTTTTAAATTTTTATTTTATGTGTATGTTTTGCATGCATGTATATAAGTGCACTTGTGTGTGCAGTGCCCACAGAAGTCAGAAGAGGGATTCCAGTTACTAACAAGTGGGTGCTGGGAACCAAACCTAAGTCCCGGGCAAGAGCAACCAGTGCACTTAGCTGCTGAGCCATCTCTCCAGCTCCTTATAAGACATTTTAAAAGATGAATAGTGGTATTAAAAAGTTACTTTTACTATAGGGAATATGTACTAAAATACAGCTACTGGCAAACATTAAAAAATAAATTGAGCTATTTAAATGTTGAGGGCTTATATTACTTATTTCAAACGCCCAACTTATCTCAAACTTTTAAATCTTGAATGACCCAAATATTTGTATACATAAAGAATACAATAATGGGATTTCATAAGAAAAATATGAAAGGAGGGCACTTTAGCACTTTTTGATAAATGTTATCCAGAAAAACTGGGACCTGCTCCATGCTGCAGTGGGCCAACCTGCCAAACCAATCAACACAATCTTAGTTTCTCCAAACACAAAACCATACTTTTTAGCCTACCCCAAAGAAAGGAAACCAAAGCAATTATTGTACTGGACTTCTAGTCTCTGTAAAAATTTCTTCCTGAAGAAAATAACATCAATGATGAAAAACAGACCCTTCATTTGCTCAAATGTTTTTATTTTTTAAAGGATGTCTCTCGTTGCACTGAGGCTCCCATTCTCAAAAAAGGGACTCAAAGATTGATATACAAGGCATCAAAGCATTCTTTAAAAGGCCCAGCGAACACTATGGTTACTGCCAGGAAATCATTCCAAACACTCATTTTTGGAAAAAAAGGCAGCAGTCACAAGAGGAAAGGAAGTGGACGTTGTCAGAGGTGGCAGGTGTGTTTTGAGGCCAACAGTGTTTTGTTTTTAATGAAGCACAGTTGCAAGTCTCTAATTGTGTGCCTCAAGGGAGCAAGACATCGGAGGGCTTCTTAATTCTTTTATGAGCACCACCTTGGAAGAAAAGAACACTTTGTGAACACGTAGGTTTGGCGTTTCATTTAAGCAGAAAAGCTAAAGAGGCTGGAATATTTAGAAATAATCCATGTGTTGTAATTTAAACGATAAAAGTTTAAAAATAAACTCCATAAACAAAGTGAAAATAATGCAAACTGGAGCCCATGTTTCTTTCCCCAGGGGAGGAGGGATGGAAATGGGCTACACTCCGGATTCTTCGTTTAGGAGCTTCTTTTTCATTCGTTAGAGTGTGAAATAGACGATGATCTTGAGGTTAAATTCCCAGAGAGTAACACGTAAAATGGAAAGGAAGCAGGAAGATTTCGGTACTTGTGCTAGTTCCGTAGTAAACTTTTAAAGAGGGCAAGGGTGCTGGAACAGGGGTGAGTTACGATACTCGCTAATAACCACCGACCCGCTTCGGTTAAAAAGTATCCAGGCTGCAGCCGCTGTACTCTAGACCCACACCATGCCCAGAACGACCTGCTCACCTTCCCAACAATGTTTCATTCGACTCACTTTGCAATTTTGTGACAAGTGAGGCGCTTTAAGCTGCGGTGGGGGGAGGTGGGGGTAACCCTCTAAAGCCACCCTAGGGATGTACCACGAGAGCGGTCCCCACAGCACACCCAGACTCACACCGCGGGGCGCCCGCAGCCCTCCCGGCACGGTGGACCCAGGAGAGGACTTTCCCGAACTCAGGCCGGGCAGCACGGGAGTCGGGTCTGGCTTCCCGGGTCACTTCTGGACGCCCGCCCGCCCGCCACGCATGCCGGTAACGGACAGCCTGCCCGGCGCGGTCCCGGCCGCTCTCCGCCTGTCGGAAGCGCGCGTGGGCCCCGGGAGACCCCGGAGTGGGCTCTAGCGCGGCCCCGACCCCACGACCCCGCGGCGCAGGGCGCGCGACTCACATGTGCGGGTTCCTGCGGAAGGCGTTGGTGATGTCCTTCACCACCCTCTGCACCAGCACCGCCACCTCCTCGCTCGACTCGGCCATGTTGGCGCCGGCCGCGCTCAGGCGCGCCTCCGGGAGAAGCCAGCTGCCGGCGGGAGTTCCCGGGAGCGCGCGGAGGCTCGGGCGCGCCCCGAACGGGGCCGCCGCGCCCGCCGAGCACTTCCGGGTCAGGGCGCGCGCTCTCGGGCGGCGCGGGACTCTTGCAGGTGGGTATGCACGGTCGCCTGGCTGGAATTGCTTTAGTTTCCACGTCGGAGGGAAGCGAGAGGCAGGTCCTCGTTGTCCCCGGGAGGGTCTGTCGAAGGTGCGGGCCCTTTGCCGCAGGGACCCTGGACGGTCCCGCCCCGGTGGGGACGTACGGCCTGGGCGCCGCGCGGCGGGTGCTGCTTCCCTGGTTGCTGACCTCGTTTTGTGCCTGCCAATTTGGACCTCTGTAATTGAAAGCAGCCCTTTCAATTAGACCATTGTACTGAGTTAATCAAAGAAAAAACAGAGGGCGAAACGCACTCCCTAGATTTGGGGAGTAAAAGTTTTAAAAAAAAACAAGGAAAAAGTACTTCGATGCTACTTAATTTGCACGTTCCATGAATTTTGTACCAATTTGAAGTAGAAAAGAAAAAGAAAACGAAGGCCCTGACAATTTATTCATAATGTCTATTTACGGTCCTATGAAAAATTTTGGTAGGAAAAACAAACTGTATTCCATTCCGATTTTTTAAATTAGATTTTTGCAATTTTCATACAATTTGATTTGATGGTCCCATTATGATTTTAAAATGCTGTAATTAAGATTATTATACACCAGGTTTTCTTTTGCTTTTCTGAGTACAGAAATCCGACTGCATTTCACTCAGGGTGTGCACACCTGCAATCCTGTAATCCCAGCACTTGCAGGGGCCTCAGAAGTTCAAGGTCAGTTTTGGCTGGCTGAAGGGCATGAAATTCACATCTCTAAAACCCAGAAGTTTTAAAAATCAAGCGTATGCGTATAATATAAACGTATGTGGGGCGTGTGAAGTGGAGTTTAGGACTAAAAGTAAAACACCATCGGCTGAAAAATGAATTGAGAAATATAAATAAGATGTTTACATTACACCCAGTGGCCTATATTCCTGTAAGTATATTTGTAAAGCTGGACGTTAGCCTTTCTTAAAGAAAAGAGAAAAGTTTTACAAAATTGTCGAAAGTAAGATGGGCCAATTTATGACAGTAAAATCAAACTACCCTCTTAACAAGGTCTAGGATGGAACAGTGAAATGCATGGGATGGGTTTAGATTCCAGGGTCAAGGATAAGTTCAGGTATCCTGGTTACTCTTAAGAATGTGATAGCCGACCTCCAAAGACTTCAGATAACTGATTGGTCTTCCTTATAGTCGCCACCTCTCCTCTTCAAAAGACACTGGGAAGTAAATCTTGATTTCTGAGAGCAGACCCTGAAACAGCACACTTAGAAATAGACTTTAGTTTAGAAACTAAAGAGATTTTTTTTTTTTTTTTCTAAATACCTGCATTTAACCAGAGCTATCCAAACTTGAGCCTCAAATCTGGAAATAAAACTGATACTTCGCAATGGTAACTTGTCTGTGTGAGTCTGTATATGTCCTTTCTCCCCCACTGTACTCATTTGAAAGCTGTGAACTATGGCTCATGGTTTTTTTTAAGAGTTGAAAATTATTTCATCCAATATTAATGATTTTATATGTGTAGAATTCAAATTATTTAGAATTGGAATATATTAGAATTCTGATCCAACTCAATTTTACAAATAAGAGCTGAGGTCCTTAGACGTTAAGAAGTGAAATTCATGAGCCCTCAATAATGGTATGTATAAGATTAGTGTATCATAAATTTGAGATGATTTTGTTTAAAAAGACTAGAAGATTTATATTGAGGACTCTCAAACTGTAGCAAAGTAACAGTGAATATTTAAATATCCATTGATAGACCGATTGAATTATGTTAAGGGCCAGTGAGATGACCCAGCAAGGAAAAGTGCTTGCTATGAAAGCTTTGCAGCCTGAATTCTATCCCCAGATACCACAATAGAAGTAGAGAACTGACTCCTGAAAGTTGTCCAGTAGCCTTCACATGCATGCCATGTCGCATACCCACCCCTACTCACAAATGTACCATACATACAAATTTTTTAATTATGTTGTTTTAGAAAATAACCATCTAAAAATCATATCATAAACTACAGAATTGTGTAGGTGGCCCTCCTTATACATAGGTTCCACATACATGGTTGGTTGAAGCCAAAATGAGTAAAAATACTTGGAAAAATGATGTCTGCAATAAACACATGCAGACTTTTATTCTTGTCACTGTTCCCTAAGCAATGCAGTAACAACTATTTCTGTAGATTTATCTTGTATGTATTATTATAATGTTGAGATAAAGTACACAGAAGGATGTGCAGAGGTTATATCTTCAAATACTGTGCTGTTTATATAAGAGAAGCATCTGTGAGTATTGCTGTCCATAGGTTTCCTGGAGTTGATCCCCTATGTAAACAGAAAGGCAATTGTCCAGCAAAACAATAGGAAGTATATTAATAAGGTGTATTAGTCAGGGTTCTCCAAAGAAACAGAACTGATAGAATGAATATATATGTATAGAGATTTATCAGCTTAGCTCACACGATAGAGTCTGAGTAGTCCAATAATGGCTGCACCACACTGGAGAGGCTGAGAATCTATAGTTGCTCAGTCCACGAGGCTGGATGTCTCAGGAGTCCCAATCTTGTGCTGAAGGTCTGACAAATTCCAAAAGATCAGCTAGTCTTCAGTCTACAGCAGAAAGACGAACTCACCAGCGAGAGAGAAGGCAAGCAGCAAGAAGCCAGGTGTTCTCCTCTGCCTTGGCCTTTTATACAGGCTGCCATCAGAAGGTAACACCCACATTTAGGGCATCTTCCAGCTTCAGATGATCCAATCAAGAAGATCTCTCTCAGTTACTCCCAGATCTAGTCAAGTTGACACCCAGGATTAGCCATCACATAAGGGAATTTTCTAAGTAAAGCAGAGAGCAAAATTGATTTTATTACATTTTAATATGTATTAATAAAGAGGTGGATATATGTTTATTAGCTCACTATCTCTTTTGCATATTAATTTTCTTAGAAGTGTATTGATTTTTCAGTGCCTGTTGTTATTGTTCACATGATTGTGAATGTATTTTGGCAGTTCTCCCATGAATCCCTTCCCCCAAATCACACTTTCCATATTTTTTCAAATTATCTTAATTTTATGTATGAGTGTTTTGTCTGCTTATATGTAAGTGCACCTGGGTTGTGCAATGCCCATGGAAGCCAGAAGAGGGTGTTGGATCCCTTGGAACTGGAGTTCCAGGCGGTGTTGGCCCCATGTGGGTCCTGGGAACCAAAGCTGGATCCTCTGTAAGAGCAATCAGTGTTAATAGTCATTGAGACATCTCTCTAGCCCCACACTTTTCATATTTTCATATTTAAGAGATTTACTGATGATGGGGCAATGTTCATAATAATGTTAAAAACGTATTCCATACTAGTATGTTCTGTAATCACAATTTTACATGTTCAAGACAAATTGCACCTAAGTCTCATACATATTTAAAGTAGACTCAAAGGATATAAACCATAATGCTAACAGTGGTTAGAGGTATGATAGAATTACAGGAGATAATTAAAACCTTTAAGTATATGTGCTAGGGGCTAGGGAGATGACTCCACACTTAAAATGCTTGCCATACAAGCAAGAAGACCGGAGTTTGGATCCCCAGAACCTTTGTGAATGCCTGGTGGGCATGGTGTTCCACCTGTACGCCAGCTCCTGAAAGGCTGGACAGAGGCTCCCTGGAACAAGCTGGCTAGAGAGACTAGCCCAATTGGCCAGTTCTGGGTTTGAATAAGAAACCCTGCCTCAAAGAACACAATGGAAGAGCAATCAAAGAATATTCCTGACATCAACCTGGACTTCCAAGTGCATGTGCACACAAGTACACATGCACACGTGCATACGAACATAATGCACACCACAAACGTAGGAAAAGAGGGAAACAATGTAGAGATATATACATGTTCTTAACTTTAGTGGATGACCCAAACTTCCTACAACAAAAATCCTAATGTATATATTGAAAACCACGGAGGGAACCAAGATGGATACTAGGGTGGTTTTAACATTTTTTGTGAAGAGATGGCGATGACCTTGGAATCTGCCATTACTCTGTTACTCTACTTACATTTCTATGATACTTTGTATATATTTCACATTTAATTTTATTTGAAATCTAACTGTGACAGCATTCTGCGAGTCAGAATTCAAATAGTACTAAACATGTTCTTACCACATACTAGATATTTTTACAAACACAGGAACTTATTTCACCACCTAAGCAAGTAACGTTGACTCAGGTATGGTGGCACACTCTTATAATCCTCACTCTAAAAGGGAAAGTCTAGAGGATTCTGAGTTTGAGGCTAGACTTTACTATATGGTGAGTTCCAGTCTAGCTTTAGCTACACAGTGAGACTGTCTAAAAAATAAAAAAATAAAAGAATACATACATAAATGTCGGCTGGTGATGTAGCTTGTTGGTATAGGTTTAATCTTTAGCATCCACCCACCCCCAAAAGTAAATGTCCAATTTTAAATACTTCATTATAATGCTGTAGTTGTGATTGCATATAAAAGCCAAACCTCAGTCCTCTCCACTATCCCAAAATCTAAAGTTTAAGAACTCAGAAGCAAAAAAACGAGAAAAGGGCAATGTAGCATTAGTAAAGAAGATACAATATTAGCTGGGCAAGGTGACAATACAATATCTGCTGGGTGTGGTGACACAAGCCTTTAGTCCCAGAACTCCGGAGACAGAAACAGGCAATCTCTGTGATTTCAAGGCCGGCCTGGCCTACAGAGCCAGTTCCATACCAGCCAATGCTAAATATATGAGAACCTATCTCAAAAGAAAAGGTACAATATCAATATCATTTTTATGAATACATAAGAGATGTCAACAGGAACAATGCCTATCTTCTATCTTCAGAGTTTTTATTAGACTTTTAGGCAAAAGAATAGAAATAAGTATAGTTTTAGAAACATACACTACATTTAAAGACATTTGGTATACAACCTTTTGTCTTGGTATGTTGGTTTATTTCCTTAAATACAAGAGCTCGTATATAAAAACTGTTTTTGTGTGTGGGTTTTTTTTTTTCCTTTTTGAAGCAGGGTCTCCCTGTAGCCCCAAGGTGTCCTGGAACTCACTATGTAGACCAGGCTGGCCTTGAACTCACAGAGATCCGCCTGCCTCTGCCTCCCAAGCGCTGGGACTACAGGCGTGCACCACCACGCCCAGCTATAAAAACTATTTGCCCAAGAATCCTGATGTCCTCTATTTTGTATTTAGCTGACATATTTAGCACTTCATTATTCCAATAGTTGAGATAAAAAAGGAAATACATGTTTCAGCACCTTTAAACTGTGAGGAGCTACACAAACGATTGCTTATTTCTATGAATAAAGAAAGCAGTATTGCTAGTCAATTTATTAAAATGCACTAGTAAGCTAAGACTAAGCTAAATGCTATCAATATGAAACTGTTGCTCCACACATGAAAAGGCAATCATCACACTACGATTGTAAGCAGTCTGATAAAGTGTGAACTGTTTTAATCTGACAAAGTAGGAAAATGGTACAAAGATGGTAATGTTGACTCTAAATGACCAGGTTAGACTGACGCTAGGTCCCATGGAGATTCAAAACTAAGAACACCAGTAACATGAACAGGTTTTGTTGCTAAGTGATGATATTTTTCCCTTGGCATTTGGCAGTTCCAAATTATCCTTTTCCTTTTCTCTCTTTCTTCCTACCACAAAGGCCCGGGGGACCCATGATGTGATCATTAGAAAAGAATAGAAAAATAGAGAAAAAGGCAATCCAGGACTTGCATATGGAAGCAACCAGGAAGGAGTTCCTCTTCCTAACGTAATGCAATAATGTTTCTCAAGTACCCAAGATACCAAACTGTCAAGGACTTTTCATAGCAGAATGCCTTTTAATGGATGACTAGAAAAATTTTTTCAGCCTAACTCACAGATGAAAACCGTAGACTTAGCATGAACAGTTGCAATTGAAAAATTTAAAAGAGTGACAGCGTAATACTATTGTAGAAGAGGTTTGGAGTCTTTGGTATCTGACTAAAAATAAAGAACATACTTCCTGTTCTTTCAAAAGTCAGTTATAAAATGTTATAATAAAATGTATCATTTTTCAGTTTCATCCTATTTCCATGTTTTAAGCCACCTCTGAGACCTATCAAAATCAATATCAGGCCAAAATTACCTATAAGAATGATGAATTTTCTCTGTTACATGTTGAATTATGCTTTTAATTTGCAGTATAACATTTACAGACATGTCTCCATTTTAGAAAGCAGTGTTAAAGACTAATACCTTAATTGGCATCTACTGACTTTAGGCACAGTAATTTCTATAACTAAGTCTTCCAAGTCATCAGGGTTAAAAAAGACAGTGATAAAGA